ACTGCAGATCGTACAGGGTAAAATTCAGGGTATGGTCAGGAACTACAAAGGGACACGTTGCCATTCAATAAAAGGACGATGTAAACCATCGAAACCATCCCAAGTTGAGACAACGGGAGATAGTTCTGTCATGGGAAGTTCAATCAAAGACTTGCATTTCTAAGTTGCTCAGGTTTCAATCAATCTGCTGAATCCATCAATGGATCACTTTGTGACCGGACACCGCAAAGCCTCCCTGTCTCTACTGCTTTTGTACTTGTCCATTCTACCATCATGTCTTAACCATTCAACGGCAAACTCCTCCTCCTAACTCGCCATTATTCCTACTCCCCGATGGCCCCCCTACAATTCATTCCCTGGAGAGCAGCCAGAGGAAATGCCCATTTATGCACTCAGCAAATATTTATTGAACACCTGCTTAAGGGACAAATCCATTGCTCACCAAATACATGCATCTCTGTCTTCAGGGAGCTTCTGTTCAGTGGGAGAGGCAGAAAGAAAACAACGTGAGCCAGTAGAATATATATAAAATGGTGAGAGCTGCTAAAAAGAAAAAAACTAAAGCAAAGTGCATGGAGTATTTAGCAGTGGGGTAGGTAGTTGGGATGGTCAAGGAGCACTTTGTGGAGAAAGTGATTTAAAAAATTTTTTTAAATATTTATTTATTTTGAAAGAAAGAGAGAGAGAATGATGATGATGATGATGTTAATTGTAAGGGCCATATAGATATTAAGGACTGACTAATATGAGCTGGGCAATATTCAAGTTCCTTTAACTATTCAAAATTATGCATCATTAGCCCATTTCACAGAAAAGAACATGGAGTATCAGAGATACTATGTACTTTGCCCAGAGAAAAATAATAACCATTGTCAGTAAGAGGTGGTAGAGGGATTAAATCAAAAGTCTACATACTTTCAACCAAACCAGCTTTCTCCCCTGAAATATTTATCCCTGAGGCCACCAGCAAATTCTAAATAACGATTCCAGTGAACACATTTTATTCCATTAGCAAGATGTAGCCTAAAGTATCAGAGAAGCCTAACTAAGAATAGTTATTTTTTTCGTCTGGGAATGCTTAAAAATTTTGTGGTATAAATTAATGGTAATTGTGTCTTTGCTTATCCCATTTTGGCTTACAAAACTTTTCATAGGAACACTCTCCTTTTGTATAGCAGGGGAAATTTGTATTGTGGTTTATATTTTCAACTCCAAAAATTATTACTGATTACTAATTATTAATAATTATTATTTTATACTGAGAATACTTTTACATTTATATATGTGTCAGTTTCTTTGCTCATATTATCTTTTTGCAGTTCAGCCCTTCCTCCTGGGATTATGCTCTTTCTTCCTTAAAGTACATTTTCTATTAGTTCTTTTAGAGTAGGTCTGTTATAAAATGTCTCATTTTTTGAAATCTGAAAATGTGTCTATTTGCTGTGGCTCTTGAAATATAATTTTGTTGGGTACAATTCTAGTTTGACAGTTATTTCTTCTCATTACTTTGAAGTTCATTGTTTTCATTTTCATATGATGGGAAAGCTTCATTTCATCTTCTAGTGTTCATTTTTATCACGACAGATCTGCTGTCAGTCTAACTGATCTTCCTAGGTCATTTCACTTTTCTCCCTGGCTGCTTTTAAGTTTGCTTTGTCTTTGACATTCTATGCTTTTGTCACTTTGTATCTTGATGTGAATATCTCTTACGTAACTTGCCCTGCTTGGCATTCTTTGTGCCTTCTTTAATTGTGGATTCATATTTTTTTTATTTTTATTTATTTCTAGGAGAGAGAGAGAGAGAGAGAGAGAGACAGCATGAGCAGGGGAGGGTCAGAGAGAGAGAGAGTCACAGACTGAAACAGGCTCCAGGCTCCAAGCTGGCAGTCAGCACAGAGCCCGACGCGGGGCTCGAACCCACGAACCGCGAGATCATGACCCAAGCGAAAGTCGGACGCTTAACTGACTAAGCCACCCAGGCGCCCCTGTGGATTCATATTTTTAATCGGTTGTAGAAATACTCCGCCATGATTTTGCAAAAATTGCCTCGCCTCCAATCTCTTTATTCTCTACTTCTTGGACTCTAGTTAGATATATATTAGACTTTCTTGCCTTTCCATATCTCTTAGTCTGTCATTAACATGTCCTTTTTCATCTCTTTGTGCTACATTCTAAGTGGTTTCTGCAGATTTTGTACCAGTTCCCTAATTTTTTGTTTCTAACATGCTGTTTACCTCACTTGTTTTTTTAAATATCTTGATAATTAGGGGCACCTGGGTGGCTCAGTCAGTTAAGTGTCAGACTTGGGCTCAGGTCATGATCTTGCAGTATGTGAGTCCAAGTCCGGCATCGGGCTCTGTGTTGACAACTCAGAGCCTGGAACCTGCTTTGGATTCTGTGTTTCCCTCTCTGTCTACATCTCGCCCTCTCACGCTCTGTCTCTCTCTCTCTCTCTCAAAAATAAATAAACATTTAAAAATAAAAAAATAAATATGTTGATAATTATTATGTTCATTTTAAACTATTTTTTCTCTAATATTTCTGGTCAAATTTTTGTCCATTTTTGTGATTCTGTATTCTTTCCTGTATACTTTTCCTACATAGCTATTGTATATTCAAGCTGATATCTCGGATTTCTGAAATCCTCAAAAGTCTAAATATATTACTGCTTTTTTTGCTAATGTGCATTTGCAGAGCTCCATTTTTCATGCGGTTATTGGCTGTTGTGAAAACCCTGGGCACTTAAACTGAAGATGCTTTCTCCAGAGAAGGTTTGTGTTTGTTTCTTCTGGGATTTGGATGATGCTACCGCCCACTTTGGCCCCTTCCCAGTTTCTCAGGTTAATTTTTTAGTCTCTGGTTCAGCTCAGCCCCATGGCCACTGGTTCAGGGCTCCGTCTTTTTCTTGCTGTATAGATGGTGGATCTGTCTTTGGGCCAGTTTTGTCTTTCACACATGTTTATTGTTCCTAGTCGAGTATCAGGTACCTCTTAGAAGGAGTTGGGAGTGCTTGGCGATCTTCTATTCTTCCTATTGCAACGATGAGATAAAAGTTGTTTCTTAAGCACGATGGAGTTGTTTCAAACAAGAGGGCTCTTCAGAGGATCTAGTCTACCATCCTTCCCTCTTCTTGTTTTCTGCCTTGCTTCTTTTTTTTTTTTTTAACCTACCTTTTAAACTTCTGAAATACCTTTTTTTTCGGGGATCTGCTACTTCTCTGAGTTTTCTTTTTCAGTCCTTCTCACTCCCTCACCTCCATTTTTCTTCCCCACTCTTTCAAATATGGAGTTTTCCAGAATGCCAGCTCTTCTTTCTTCTCAGTTGATCTCATCCACATGCTTGGACTTCAGCTGTACTTCTAGCTCAGACATAACCCTAAATTATACAACTATATTTCGAATTACCCTCTTGTAACCCCCATTTGGATTTTCCTCAAACTCAAAAATTTCAAAACTGGCTTTATGATCTTCCCCATATTCTGCCTACAAATCTGCTTCTCTTCCAACATTTCTCAACTCCGTTTTGGATACCACTATCCACCGCTCACCTAAGCCAGATGGTCCTGTCAATTTTAACTCCTAAATATCCCTTAAATTCTTTCTCCTTCCTCCTCTGTTTCCATCATCACTGCTGTAGTTGGATCTTCATTACTTCTGCCTGAGCAGTTGCAATTGCTTTCTTTTCTTTCTTACCTCCAGACTCACTGATGAAATGTGCCCTACCCAATGCTGCTTTCGTGATCTTTCTGCGATGCAGATATGAATGTGTCACTCGTCTGTGGAAAATTCCTCATCTGTTCCCCCATTAATGCATGGTTAAGTCTTAGGCTTCATAACTGGGCATGTAAGGCCTCCATGATCTAACTCAAAAAACTTAACTTTTCTGCCTATCTTTCTTTAAGCTGCAAAGAGGGCCATGAGAAATCTGTCTTGTTGACTTTGGCTAGTGCCAAGCCCAGAGCTGATACTTAATAGATAATTATTAAATGAGTACATCACTGCCCTATCTCAATCCACCTGATTCATAAACCCCTTTTCCTAGCCAATTGGGACATTTTTTGCTGTAACACAAGTTTGCCCTCCTCGCTCAACTGTAGGCTAGTTACTATTTACTCATTTATTCACACTTTCATTAGTTTATCTTGGAATTACCACTAAGACTGTAACCGGTACTTAGAAGGTTCTCTGAATGAATAAATGAAAACAAACTTAGAAGTGTGGCCTAGGAGGTCATAGTACATGAAGAATTGACTACTATAGGGGCGCCTGGGTGGCTTAGTCGGTTAAGCGTCCGACTTTCACTTAGGTCATGATCTCGCGGTTCGTGGGTTCGAGCCCCGCGTCGGGCTCTGTGCTGACTGCCAGCTCAGAGCCTGGAGCCTGTTTCAGTCTGTGACTCCCTCTCTCTCTGACCCTCCCCTGCTCACGCTGTCTCTCCCTCTATCTCCTAGAAATAAATAAAATATATATAAAAAAAAAAAAGAATTGACTACTATAAAGGACTGCACTCCAAGAGCAATTTTTCCCCCACGTGGTTTATGCATAAACAAATAGAAGTACAGGCAACCTGTATCTTTCTCCTGCCCTTTCCAAATCTGAGAACCAGATATAATGAATCAAGTTCTTCTGTAGAATGAATCCAAACAAAACCAAAACAAAGGGCAAACCAACCTCCTACAAAACACTGAAAAGGTAATCAAGACTTTCCCAAGCACTAGCTCAATAGGCGCCCAGGTGTAACGGAAGCCCCGCCCCTAGGGAGGCGGGGCTTGAATGGCGGGGCGGGGGTTGTCCGGATCGACCACGCCCTCTGTGGGCGGGGTGTAAGCCGGCGGGCCGCGCAGACGCCCGCGCACCCCCGCGGTTTCCTAGGAGACCGAACACACAGGACGCCAGAGCTTCACACGGGAGCTAACGAGGTAAGAGGCCGGTGCGGACAGGTAATCCCAAGCGGGCCGCGGGGCTGCCGCCCTCTGTCCGAGCCAGCCCGAGCCTGTCCTGCGAGGCCCGCCCGGCATGTCCCCTCGGCGCCCTGTCCTACTAGGGCCGAGCTCCGCCGAGAGAAGGGGGCCTGGACCCTGGTACGGGGAAGGACCGGAGGGAGGCGGATCCGGCGGCGGGGGGTGGGGCGGGAGGGGGCCCTTCTGCGCCTGCTGCGATCCGCGTCCCCCCAGGCCCCCGGGACCACTTCTGCGCGCTCCCAGACGGCGGGGTGGGCTCGGGCTGGGAGGGTGACGGCGGGCTTTCATCAGTCTGAGGGCCCCCGGCCCCCGAACCTCTCCCTTAGGATCCCCCCTACTTCCCCCTTCCACCTCCCCCGTCTTCCCCCTTATTTCTGCGGCTGGGCCCGGAGGGGAGACTACTTTTAGGAGTGAGAAGCGGGATCGGGTCTCGGGGAGGCAGCGGAATTGAGTTCAGAATGACTACAAAATTTAAAAAAGGAAGTAGAGAGAAACTGGATCTAAATTCCATCCCCATTCGTGCATCCCAAATGACTCCCAGGTAAAAGCGGGATCCCGGCTTAGGGCCCTGGGACGACCCCTTTCCCGCACGCCCGCAGGACCCCGGCCCCAGGAGTCTTTAAGGCCCCAGTTTGCGAAAAAGGAGGAGAGTCGGTTTAATGAAAACTTTCTTACTGCAGATAATATTTTTAAATTTAGGGACAGAGTCGGGGGCGGGGAAGTGGGGAGCGATAAAACTGATTTTAGAGGCTTGTAATATCAATTCTAAAAGAGATTATATTAATCATTATATTATATAATCATTATGTTAAATAATCATCTTAAATGAGCAGACATCTGTCCTGATGACAACGAAATTCTCACAGAGTCAAAGTTATCGGACTTCCTTTATTCAGAAAACAACTCATTTAGGGGCGCCTTGGTGGCTTAGTCGGTTGAGCGTCCGACTTTCGCTTAGGTCATGATCTCGCGGTTCGTGGGTTCGAGCCCCGCGTCGGGCTCTGTGCTGACTGCCAGCTCAGAGCCTGGAGCCTGTTTCAGTGTGTGACTCCCTCTCTCTCTGACCCTCCCCTGCTCACGCTGTCTCTCTCTCTCTCTCCTAGAAATAAATAAAACAATAAAAAAAAAAAAGAAAGAAAGAACACAACTCATTTAGTCAAAGCAGTGGTGGAGGTGCAAGTTCGGCTTTCCTTTACGTTCCCATCCCCCAGTTCACCGCGGCAACTGGGGAAGGGAGAAACTACCTGCTTCTCCTCCACCCCAAGGCGGCCACTTAACTGCCGTTGCGGAGCTGGCCTTGGGCAAGGATGCTTGATTTCCCCGTTGGGGTGGTTTTGGGTTTTGTTTAGTTTTAGGATAATTTGTGATATTAGCACACAGCACAATTTCTTTTTTAAACCTGGAAGCTTTGTTGTCCCGTTGTAAAACTCTCCTTTTAATTTCTGCAAATACATATCTTGGTAACTTTTGAGGTCTTTTTTTTTTTTTTCTGTTTTGCTCTTCAAACAACTTGGTGTTTTTAAGACATTATTATTTTTTTTAAATATACACAATGCCAGCCTTAGAGTGATATAATTACAGTAGGTTCTACAAAGACAAGTTGAAGACTTCCAAAGGCTATCTGTTCAGTAATTGGCAGACAGAAGTTTTACCCTCCATTTGTCCTCTATGTTAATCTTCTTTAATCCTATCTAAATCCCTTTTAGCTGGCAGAAGCCATTGAGCTTAAGTTTACACTAATTGTACACTCAAATAACAATACAAAAACTATAATAGGAGAGAAATTATAAGGGTGTTTATTTAATGTAGGTCTATAATTGAGCCTCTAAATCTTTTTCCTTTAAATCAAAATCTAAGGTTTGTTTAGCCATAGGAAAGTCACTAAATATTGTAGCCTGATTGTAAACAATTCCAAGTTCATAACAGTTCTGTTAAATAAGGATCATAGTTGTATTACATTTACTTGTGTTCTGCCTTGTTGCATATACATACATATATATGGAAATAAATATACAATTTGACCCTTGAACAACATAGGGATTAGGGGTGTGAGTGCCCAACAGTCGAAAATTCTAGTATAACTTTTGAATCCCCAAAAAATTAGTAGTCCACTGTTGACCAGAAACCTTACTGGTAACATAAAGAGTTAATCAGCACATATTTTATATGTTTTATGTATTGTGTGCTCTATTCTTCCAATAAAGTAAACTAAAGAAAGCAAAACATTAAGAAAATCATAAAGAAAATACATTTACAGCACTATATGGTATTGATCGGGAAAAAATCAGCATATAAGTAGACATGTACAGTTCAAACCTATGTTGTTCAAGAGTCAACTGTAGAGATGGAAATAAATACATAAGAAGTCATGTTGATAACATCTCTATCTTGCAGAATTAGTCTTCTATAGATGAACAGAGAAGAATAAATGTAGCCTATAGAGAAATATTATTGTGTGTGAACTGGGGACCCATAGGCAATCTATGTTTTCTTAAATTACATCTATTGCTTTTGACTAGTAATTCATTTAGGGCCTTACTATGCTACACTGATGAAAGTAGTCGTTTATGTGCTATAGTGAGTAGATACATGGGGGAAATTATTTTTAAAAAACCACAACAACCACCTTTCACCTTGATATCTATGCCTCTTTACATTAAGCCATTGTCTTTATATGTTCAGGGGGGATTAGGGGACAGTTGAAATGGTCAGCTTCTAACTCTGGAGAACTATTTATTTTGTCATTAAAATGGCTCAAAGAGGCCTTTCTAAAGTTTTACTTAAAGGCTAGGTAGGGTTTAAACTGGACAGATTCTCTTGAGAGCCACAAATCAGACCTTTTTAAAAATCTTTGTGATACCCATAATCTTCATCACTCCACCCCTTAAATGAAAGGAGGTGGGAAAGGCCCATGTTCCGTGTTTACTCTACCCTGAATATAAGTAGACCCTATGTGATAGCCACCCTCACTTGAAATAAACTGTTTCCAGGGCCACGTGGGTGGTTCAGTCGGTTAAGCGTCTGACTCTTGATTTCTGCTCAGGTCATGACCTCACAGTCGGTGGGATCGAGCCCCATGTCAGGCTCCACACTGATAGCATGGAGCCTGCTTGGGCTTCTCTCTCTCTCTGCCCCTCATCCTGCGTGCATGTGCATGTTTTCTGTCTCTCAAAAATAACCCAAAAAACGGAAAACAAAACGGTGTTTCTAGTGTTTATTTGGAAAGCGGTTGGTTAGGCTTGGAATGCATTTTCTACAGTTTCCATTGCAAAAATGGTTGGGTTTCCAGGCCAATGCAGAAAGTCATCAATGAGTGAATGATCTGAAAAGCTAATCCTACTGGTGATGGTGGTGGTTGATGGTGTTAATAGTGGAAGAAGAAGGAAAATAAAGATTAATTCCACTTTTGGAAGTTAAGTCACCGAGAGGTAGAATTTTGACTATTGTTTTCTTGCACACACTCACCTCTGCATTTCTGTTCCCACCCTGGCAGCTCCCTCTTTCATTCCCTTCTCAAGCAATATGTTCTTTTCCCAGAATTGCCTACATTCCTTCCTGCCTATCAGACCTTCCGTGCTTGTCCCCAATGAGGTCCTAACATGAAAGAAAAGATGATGCTATCATCCCACTGAAGTTAATTAAGAAATTAATTTTCATAAGGGAGCCCAGTTAGACTCTCTTCCTCCTGTGCTCCTAGTTTCTTTCCCTCCACTGTTTCTGGCCTGTATTTTACGGTGTCCTGGGCACTGGGCCAGATGCAGCCTCAGGGTCTAATAGGGTAGAGAGCACTGCTTGCAATTTCCATTCAGTCAGTAGCGTCTTGGTGGTTTAGGGTAAGGAATTGGGTTAAGAATCTGCAGGTGGAGGTGGGAGTGAGCAGCTTTCATAGTGGGGCAGAGTCTGCATGGTTTGGAGGCAAAGAGGGGGTGGGTCCTTGAGCTGCAACTGTGATTGTAAAAGCCAGTATGAATGGGTTGGTTTGAAGTTGGGGACTACCCTACAAAAAAAACCCAAGCAGCTTCAAGCCTAATGCAGGTACTAGACTGAGGCCATCATTGATTCTGAGTGATTACAGATACATTATTTTATAGATTAGAATCCTACTGATACAATGAATATATTCTCTGTATTGTTACTTAACCACAAGGGATCAGTAAACCCATAGAGAGCGCTTTTCCTTAAAAAGGAGAGAAGTGTATGTCTTCTTTTTTTAAAATTTTTTTTAATGTTTTTACTTATTTCTGAGAGAGAGAGAGATAGCTTGAGCAGGGGAGGGTCAGAGAGAGAGGGAGACACAGAATCTGACACAGGCTCCAGGCTCTGAGCTAGCTGTCAGCACAGAGCCTGACGCGGGGCTCGAACCCACGAATCTTGAGGTCATGATCTGAGCTAAAGTTGGATGCTTAACTGACTGAGCTACCCTGGCACCCCTGTCTTCTTAAATAAGGTAACTAGAAAATGTGTCAAGCAACGTAACACGTTGCTAATAAACTGCAAAATGCTGATTTAATTAAATTCTAAATGATAAGAATAAATACATTTTAGTCCATGTTTTGCTTAATCATAGCACATGGTACAAAACAACCAACCCAGGGGCTCCTGGCTGGCTTAGTCAGAAGAGCATGTGACTCTTGATCTTGGGATTGTGAGTTCAAGCCCCACGTTGGGTATAGAGATTGCTTAAAAATAAAATTTTAAAAAAATCTTTCAAAAATATATTTCCTTATACAGATAAAGGAAAAATTAAGAAAAGCAAATACATGTTTTGAATTGTGCAGAAGGTATGTTCACTCTATATTAATGCCATAATATTTTCTTTTTTATTTGAGAGAGAGAAAGAGAGAGAGGGAGAGAGAGAGAGAATCTCAAGTAGGCTCCACACTCAGCACAGAGCCTGAGGTGGGACTCGACCCCATGACCCTGGGGTCATGAGCTGCCAAAATCAAGAGTTGGATACCCAACCAACTGAACCACCCAGGCGCCATTAATGCCTTAATATTTTGAATCCATGTATATGTATGATGTAAAGACTACTTACAAAAAACTTCATTTTTAGGCAAATGGGGAATCATTTGTTGGCATCCATTAAGCCCATTAGCTCAGACTGAAGCTGAGAAAGAACTAAGTAGATGGAGAATCTACTACCGTGATCTCTTTTTTAAGATCCTGGCTACAGAGTTAGCACAACCTAAATTAATTCGCATGTGACTTTGAAGGGGTTATGATCTACATGAAGAAAAATAAATGATAAACTAATACACACTCCCTGTTATTTAAAAGCCCCACAGGGTTCTTCCCACATTTCCTGTGGACAAATACATTCCTGTCATAGGAAACAACACTGTTTTATGTCCTTCCCTGCACATGTTTGTTTTTTTCTCCAGAAAGTCTGCTTTTGGAAGCATCAGGTACTTTGCCAACTATAGCATAACTTTGTGGGTCCTAAACTTCTGCATATAATAGAGAAATGATTCCTATGATTTTTTTTTTTGTGTTAATGAAACAGTGCTACAGTGAAAGAAAAGTAATCTTTGAAGGAAGCACCAAATTATAACAGGCATTTTAAAACCAACTATTTTAATGGTGCCAAGCATTTTGCTATTATCTGCAACTAAGCGTAAAGCTGTATAACAGAATGACAGAGATTTTTAAAAATCTTTATTTATTTATTTTGAGAGAGAGAAAGAGCACAGGTGGGGGAGGGCCAGAGGGAGACAGAGAATCCCAAGCAGGCCTTATGCTGTCAGCAAAGAGCCCTACACGGGGCTCCAACCCACAAACTGGAAGATCGTGACCTAAGCTGAAATCAAAAGTCAGATGCTTAACCAACTGAGCCACTCAGGTACCCCCAAAATGAAAACTTTTTAAATTAATCTGTACAAATTTGCAACAACATTAATGCCATTACAGCCTTCATTTATTTTCATGGGTGTACTTTTCATATATTTTTCTGCAGCTATATTAAGATGCTGTTTGGGAGATGTTACATATGGTATATTCACCATATGACTTTTCTAAAATGTGCAGATTCCTGGATTCTGAGCACATCTGGCCCAGAAGTTTCACATAAGGGATCATGGGCCACATAAATGTAATGCAAAAACTGATTCAAAGAATGGATGTAGAATAGATGCCTGATTTTCCGGTGCCTGATTTGGAATAATGTAGGTTATATGCAGTATACAAGAAATTATACAAATAATTACTCCAGTATTTACTGAATATTCAGGGGTTAAGTAATACAGTACCATGTAAGTGAAGCCTCCATAAATGAATATTACTGGTGTGTTATACATAAACTCCATTCCACATAGCACAAAGGACTTACTAACAAATGTTTAGCACATGGTATATATATTATAATTCTTCCCTGTGCTTAGGTTACCAGTAAATGTTTTGAAGAGATTCTTTAATGAAAATTCTTTTTATTCTTGTCCTTTTTTTTTTTCCTATAGGGTGTTCACAAGAATGGAAGCACTGTTTCCTTGCCAGATTCCTTATTGCTACATTTCATGAATCTACATAATCTTGGGGAAGAGCCTGCATTCAATGATGACACACCTGTCACCAGTAGAACAACCACAGTCCCAGGGAAAAAGATAAAAATAAAGAAGTCTTTACATTTATATTCAACAAAGGAGTCATTTCCATCAACAACTTCTGCTGCGTTATTTTTCCAAGATGAACCGATACACGACCATGAAACAGTTGGGGGATGGCACATATGGCAGCGTGCTGATGGGCAAGAGTAACGAATCCGGGGAGCTGGTGGCCATCAAAAGGTACCGTGTGCGACGTGGCCAAGGGTGAAAGTTGGATCTTTCTTTTCCTTTTCTTCCGAGAGAGGTCTAGCTTAGACCCCATTGCTTGCCTGGCTAATGTGGACGGCCATTCTGGAGAAACATTGCCAAAAAGGATTCCCCATGTACACAGTTTGTTTTCTGGTTTGTCCAGCTACATTGATAAATCAGAAAAATAGAAGTGCTCTGCTTTTAATGCATAAGAAATATGAACTGAAACTGAAGGCAATGTTTGGAAAGTTTTTTGCATTTCCTTAGTCTTTAAAAATTTTTTATAGTTTATTTATTTTTGAGACAGAGAGAGAGCACAAGTAGGGGAGGGGCAGAGAGAGAGGGAGACACAGAATCCAAAACAGGCTCTAGGCTCTGAGCTGTCAGCACAGAGCCCAACGTGGGGCTTGAACCCACGAACCACAAGATCATGACCTGAGCCAAAGTTGGACGCTTAGCCGACTGAGCCCTCCAGGTGCTCTGGAAAGTTTTTAGAATTTAAAGTTGAGTGCAGAGTGGAACATATTATTTCCTTAAAACAACAGACCTCGAAAGATGGTATTCATAATATCAATGGAATTCTGAATGGTATTTTCCTAAGCTTACCAATGAAATAGAATTAATTATTAGTAACTAATAATTAGTTAGCAGAGAGAGAATCCCAATCAGGCTTTGTGCGCTGTCAGCACACAGCGCTGTGGGGCTCGAACCCATGAACTGTGAGATCATGGCCTCAGCTGAAATCAAGAGTCGGATACTCAACTGACTGAGTCACCCAGGTACCCCAACTTACTTCTTAATTTACAGCATTTCTTATCTATTATTCATTAAAAAAAAAAAGTTACTCCAAAGCACAGTGATTTAAAATAAGAACAAACCTTTATTACTTCACACTTTGTGTGGGTCAGGAACTTCAGAGGAGCTTATTAGCTGGACGGTTCTGGCTCCAGGTCTCTCATGAGGCGCGGTCATCTGAAGGCTCGACTGGGACCGGCCGTCCACTTCAAAGGTGGCTCACTGGATGAGATTCCTAGGGCTGCTATAAAGAAGTCGCACACACTGGGTGGCTGAAACAGCACATTGCTTTCCTCACAGCTCTGGAGGCTGGAAGTCAGACATGAAGGTGTCAGCCGAGCTGGTTTCTTCCGTGGCCTCTCTCCTTAGCTTGCGATGGCTGTGTTCTCCCTGTGTCCTCTCACGGTGTCCTAATCTTCTTCTTATAAGGACACTAGTAGTATCAGATTAGGACCCAGCCTAAAGTCCTTATTTAACCTTACTTAATTCTTTCAAGTCTGTCTTCTAAATACAATCACACTCAGATACTGGGAGTTAGAACTTCAACATGGATTTGGTGGGGGGAAATTTAGCCGATAACAGGCTGCTGTAACAAAGTCGAGGCCACAGATTGTGCAGCTGATATAAGAGAAATGTACAATTTACAATTCTAGAGGCTGGAAGTCTAAAATCAAGGTGTCAGCAGGCTTGGCTCCGTCTGAGGGCCATTTAGGAAGGATCTGTCCTCGGTCCCTCTCCTTGGCCTGTAGATGGCATTTTCTCCCTGTCTCTCTTCCACATGATCTTCCCTGTGTGCATATCTCTGTGTGCAAATTTCCTCTTTTTGTAAGAACACCAGCCATATTGGATTAAGTTCCACCCATATAACTTCATTTTAACTTCACAACCTCTGTAAAGGCCCGTCTCCAAATCAAGTCACATTCTGAGGTACTGGGGATTAGGACTTCAGCATCTGAATTTGTGTGTGGTGGGCGGCGCAGATTAGCCCACAATACTCACTCACATGGCTGACAAGTGGCCTCTTCACATGGGCCTCTACAGAGGGTTGCTTGAGTATTCTTAGGACATGGCCATCGGCTTCTACCAGAATGAGTCATGGGGGCCAGTTACCAAATCAGCCAAGGGATGGCAATCTAAACTTTAAATGCTTTAACAAATGCTTATCACATGTTAAAAACTTTAAAATATCATGATCTAAAACATTACACCTTTAAGGAAATAATTTTATAAAATATTGCCAGTAGCCATTATTATTAAATAAATGTACAATTGTACAGTAACTGAAATGAAATATTTACTGAGTGGGCTTAGTAAAAGTCAATACCCATTCATGACTGGGGGGAATAAAAAACCTCTTAGCCAATAGGAATAAGAAGAAACTTCCCTAACTGAATAAGACCTATATGATGCATCATCTTTATGGCAAAATATTACAAGTACTGGTTTTAAGACCAGACTTCCAGCTATTATCCCTACTAATTAAGATTGCATTGGTGACCAAATTTATGCAATAAGAGAAAAAGAAAGGATGGATAAGTATTAGCCAAAATGAGATGAAATCATCCTTATGTATAGATTAAATAATTGTATAAACTCACGCAAATACTTTAATATACATAAATTTCTATATAAAATGTTTTTAAAGACTTTGGAAAGCAATACATTCAATTCATGAAAGCTGTGGCTTCTGAGAAGTGGGTAGAAAATGAGAACTGAGATCGGGTCTGGTGGAATCATGCAACATTATACATTGTTCTGTTTCATTTAACAAAATGCTCAGTGTTCCTTGTGAATGGCAAAGTCACCTGTGTGTTTTACTGTTCCATTTCATAAAATAGGGAACGAAGCCTCACCTGCATAGATCTAAGTAAAGCCTTGAAAGAATTGAGGGGTCTAAAAATGTAAGAAGTCAAATACAATGAGGGCTGAGAAGAGGCCATAAGCATACAATTTAGGAATGCATTGGTGTATGAAATTAAAAACCTAACCAAATAAATAAGGTTTTAACTTAATTTAACAAGTAACTTAAATAGGGATTTATTTTTCTCATGTAATAAAACGTCCTGAGGTAGGCAGCCCAGGGCTGGTACCTTGTGCATGCTATTATCACAGACCTAAGTTCTGTCTTCAGAAAATAGTTTCCTCACCCCTATCCAGAAGACCCCTGATTACTTCTCATTGGCTGGAAGTGTGTCACAGAGCACACCTGGCTCTACGGGAGGCTGGGAAGCTGAGTTCTTCACGGAGCACTTTGTACCCCTGTAGAAAAGCTGAGCTGTGTTAGTAAAGAGGAAGAAAAGAGTGGCTTTTGGATAGTCAACTCACAGTGTCTGCCACATTGGGTATCTACTATGTGCTAGACCGTATCCCTGTAAAGACACAATAAAAATCAATGAGGAGGAGGAGGAGTCATGTGGAAGGCTTGAAAAAAAGTTAAATATCCATTCAACACATAATTGTTAAGCTCCTACTACACAGGTGCTCAGGCCAAAATGGGGATGAGATAGATGAGTTAAAATGTAGTGAGGAAGACCAACAAATTAGACAAATTACAACATAAAATATGGTAAGTCCTATGGTGGGGGAATAACGAGTCCTAGGGGAGCACAGAGAAGTGATACTGGAGAAGTATGCTGGAAGCTTCCCTTGGGAAATGAGATCTCAAGAGGGAGGAAAAAAAATATCAAGAAAAAGGGAAGGGAGAAGAATGCTCTAAGCAGCAAGTATGATGGCCTGGAGGCAAGAGAATGTGAAGGCTTGCCTGGGCTGCACAGCTGAAAGAAGAAGGGTAGGTGGCCAGAGTATAGGTTCTGAGTACAGCAGAGGAGGGATATGAGGCTAAGGGTGAGGTCATAAAGCCAGGTTCACATATAGCTTGACTAGAAGGTGATGAAGGATTTTAACCAGGAAAGTCGATATGATCAAGTATTGCTTTATAATGGTCCCTTTAGCAAAAGAGTGGATACTTGATCAAAGAGGTCAAAACTGGACATGAGGTGACCAGTAAGGAGACTTGACGTAGTTTTGGGGCACCTGGGTGGCTCAGTCAGTTAAGCGTCTGGCTTCGGCTCAGGTCATGATCTCGCAGTTTGTGGGTTTGAGCCCCGCGTCGGGCTCTGTGCTGACAGCTAGCTCAGAGCCTGGAGCCTGTTTCAGATTCTGTGTCTCCCTCTCTCTCTGACCCTCCCCTGCTCACGCTGTCTCTCTCTGTCTCTCTCTCTCTCTCTCTCTCAGAAATATATAAATCATTAAAAAAAAAAAAAAGGAGACTGACGTAGTCATCTTGGTTAGAGGTGGTGGTGATCTGATCTAGGATGATAGCATTAGGTATGGACAGAAGTGGAAGCACTCAAGAGACATTTAGGACCTAGGTTCTGTAGAAACTGGTAAGTGGGCATGAGGGAAAGGAGGAAAGCATGTGAAAGAGTCTGGGCTAACTCCTGGGATTCTTGTTTAAATGCCTAGTCGTGGTGCCATTTGCCATGACAGGGGAAATCACAGGCTTAGGAGTAAACCTGGGTTCACTTGTGGGCATAATAACTTTAAGATGCCTATAGGTAACTGAATATTTTCATTCAAAACAGGTTTGGGCTAGGGGCACCTGGGTGGCTCAGTCAGTTGAGCGTCTGACTTCAGCTCAGGTCGTGATCTCATGGTTTGTGAGTTTGAGCCCCGCATGGGGCTCTGTGCTGACATCTCAGAACCTGAAGCCTGCTTCAGATTCTGTGTCTCCCTCCCTCACTCTCTCTGACCCTCCTCTGCTCATGCATTGTCTCTCTCACTCTCAAAAATAAATAAACATTAAAAAGAAAACAGGTCTGGGCTGGCAATTTGGGAATTGTTAGTCTTCAGATGATATTTGAAGCCATATAGAAGGAAAAGAGGTCTTCATTTAGAGGAATCCCAGCAGATAAAGGATGGGTCCTCGAAGAGGTTCTCACAAAGACTGAAAAGGAGCCACCAGAGAAGTAGGGAGAAAACTGAGAGAGGGTAGAAAGTATATGGACACGAGGGAAATACATAAAGAAGTACTCAATTAAAAGACAGCTAAAAACTAGTGGCCAAAAATCATTTAGGTTAGTTAGGAATGTTTCTTGCTGTACGTAACAAATATAGAAATTAATAGCAAATAACAGAACCAATGGCTTAAATAAATAGATTGTTTTTCTTCCATATTAGGAAATCTGAATTTTGATGGTTCCCAATGCTCTTTCAAGGGCCCAGCTGTGAACTGAATCTAGGCCTTTTTTTATCTTCTTCGTATTGAGCTGTTAGCATTTGTTTGTCCTCCACCGTGTCACTTAATGGGCCACATTATGACTACTTGATATCCAAGCGTTACCTCTCTGGTTTAGGATGGCAAGAAGGGAGGATAATGCCAGCAAACTCCTCTCTCAAATCCGAAGTAAATTTGTTTCCCAGAAACCCCCAAGTGACTTCCCTTTACATCGTATTGACTAGAAATGGATCACAGTGGTCTCCATTATCAACAGGGAGGTTGAAAAGTGAGAATTTACTCTTCCAGCATAAGGGAGGGAGCTAGAAATGGCTTTTTGGTATCCGAACAATATTATCTAGCAGGGTGTTCTCTGGATTTGGAGAACATGACGTAATTAGTGGGTGTGGTGAGAGTTGGTCTAGGGGAATAGGAGATACACCAGATTGCAGGAGGGCAAGGAGTAGTCAAAAGTGGGGTAAGTAGAGGCATTAAACTTTGAATAGTCATGAAGTACATGTCACTGAGTTGCTAAAAAACAAAAAGTTCTAGAAGGCTTGCCAAGTATCAGTAAGAACCCACCTGCGATTACTTGGGGTGAGTATTAAAGTGGAGCTACTGGAGGCATTTATGTGACTACCCCCTCCCACCCCCCACACCAGTCTGTACACAGCAGAGGCTGGGGGATGGCAGGGTGGGAGTGGTGGAATGCTGGGAAGGGGGACATCAGAATATGTACATGCTCTTGAGGGGACAGTGGTGGAAAGGCTGATCATGGGATCCAGGGTGGATGAGGGTGCAAGCAAAGCCAAGGTTGGACAAGCGGACACACATATAGCACGTCCAATGGTAACGATGGTAAAAGGATCGCAGGTTGTGATCACAGTCTGAAGTTTTAAGGGCTGAGATCTTAGAGAGTAGAACCATTCTTCATGATAACAGGGTGCTTAGGAGTGACCCTGGCATCACAGAAATGAACATCTCTTTAAGAACTGTGGAGCCAGGCTACTGGCAGGGTTATCAATATGAATGTTCACTCTAGCCATTACTCCTAAAATTCTGGACAAGACATAATCTTAGGAGAATTTTTGACCGTACTTTGCCTGCCAGAGCCATACAGAAGCCTATGCCATTTCTCTCAAGCCTTATGCAAAGGAAAAAAACTTGGCTTAAGATATTAGACCCCTTATTCTCATTTTCAATGTATCCCTCTTCATTACCAAAACAACCTACATTCCATTAATACCCAATCAGGACCATCATCTTCTGCTTCGTGGCATAAAATACCATATGACTTAGGAATTCCATTACAGGGCATTAACCCCCCCAAAATGAAAAATACTAATTTGAAAAGATATATGTACCCCTACGTTTACCACAATATCATTTATAATAATCAAGATAGGAAAGCAACCCGTGTCCCTTGATAGATGAATGGATAAAGAAGATGAGGTATATATACATACATGTTTATACACACACACACACACACACACACACACACACACACACAGGAATATTACTCAGCCATAAAAAAGAATGAAATCTTGTCATTCGCAACAACATGGATGGAGCTAGAGAGTATTATGCTAAGTGAAATAAGTCAGAGAAAGACAAATACCATATGATTTCACGGATGTGGAATTTTTTTAAAGTACAGCAAAGGGAATGTAGTCAATAATACTGTAGTTATGTTGTATGGTGACAGATGGGGACTACACTTATCATGGTGAGCATTTCATAATGTACATGAGTGTTGAATCACTACATTACATACCTGAAACCAAAAAACACTGTATGTCAACTCTACTTCAATAATAAAAATTAGGAACAAAATCTTTTTAAAAAGAAAGCTATTTCTAAGGTGTAGTTACTTTTGAATTTTTGTTGACTTGAATCACTTAACTCTGTTGGCTTGTTTAAAGCTGGGGTAATGATACAGAAGTTGTCAGATCAAATTATTTTATATTTGCTACCAAAATTGGTGATTTCCTTCCCCTGTCCACCTCAGTGTTTCATATTTATCTGTCAAAAAGAGAAGATTTGGAAGGGGCCCTTTTAGAAAAGCACAATTAACTGGTTAGAGATATATGAGAATTCCCCCAGAAAGGAAGATTAATGGTAATACCTTCACCGTTGTGTTTAAAGCAGAATTTCAGATATGACATAATTGTGAACCTGTACCAAACAGCCTTGAGATATACAGAAGAGCGGTGACTCCCTTGTAAGGAGTTGGAAGAGAGAGAGCACAGCTTGTCCAACGTGGAGACTAGAGTAAGAAAGCCAGCAGTGTTACTTGTGTTGGAAATCCTGTCTCTGTACAGTAAACTTGTCTCATTTTATTTCAGGATGAAGAGAAAGTTCTATTCTTGGGATGAATGTATGAACTTGAGAGAAGTTAAGGTAAAAAATCCTACAGATGGAAAGAACCCAAGGAGGCCTTACCTCTGCCTCATCCTGTCTCATTTCTAAAGATGGCCGCTAACGGGATTGTTCTGTTCTTTGTAGGAAGCGGTCCAATGATCATTGTATTTCTTATGTTTTTTTCTTTAGCTTCCTAAGTAAAGTAACTTCTCATTCCTCATCCAAATGTCAGTGGAGAACAGAAAATAACTCTACCCTCTATTTAAAAGTATATACTCTCACTTTTAAAAGAGCATTTTCATTCATGCTATCAAAGGAAAGACAACGTTTAACAACTACATACCATTTCTTTCTGTGTTATGCTCTATGACTTGGAGAAGACATTTGTATGGAATGTCACACAGTTAAGTCAGAAAAAAATAAATTAAGCCTACTGAATAGACCAAGACAAAAGTGACAGATTGAAATGTCGGGCAGGTGATTTTGACCTCGTTGATTTTTGCTCTTCCATTCATTATTTAAAACAATTACTGCTTACTTTAAATTGGTGTTCTAAGATGTTCTTAGTCATGTAAAATATTATAGAACCTGAAACCTAATTCATTAACGAATTGAGAAGATCACTTAAGGTAATTATCATAGGTAGCATTGATGATATTTTGCCAACTTCTACATCAGTGGCTTTAAGAATTTTATTGCATATTTGCTGTGCTGTAGTCGCTAAAGAAGCTGAACCACGCCAACGTGATCAAACTAAAAGAAGTTATCAGAGAAAATGACCATCTCTATTTTATATTTGAATATATGAAAGAAAACCTCTATCAATTAATGAAAGACAGGTATGTCTTTATTTTACAAAATCTGTACTTTTTCCCATCACCTCCTCTCTGGGTTCCTTGGATCCCTTCATTATGTCACACTCTACAGCATCCAGGGTTTGTCACTCCCAGAGTGAATCTAAACTAATTAGCTGTTATCTTTATAACTTGAAGAAGAACCATCTATGACAGAGTCACCATTTCTCTGGTGTAATCTCTTAAAAGTCAAGAGAGGGGTGCCTGGGTGGCTCAGTCAGTGAAGCATCTGACTCTTAATTTCGGTTCAGGTCATGGTCTCATGGTTCATGAGATTGAACCCTGTGCTGGGCTCTGCACTGACAGCCCGGAGCCTGCTTGGGATTCTCTCTCTCCCTCTCTCTCTGCCCCTCCCTGACTCGTACGTGTGTTCTCTCTCTTTTTAAAATAAGTAAACAGATTAAAACCTCTTTAAAAGCAGGTAAAATGGACATGAATCTCCCACATGTGACCAGTAGCTACCACCAAAATATTAACTTTCCCAAGCTCATGGCACATGACTGAAGCTCTCCCTCTTCATAGGGTTAGAAATTAAAATGAGAATGTCTTTGGAATTGGTAACACCATAAGTTTTATCATTCACTTAAATATTCTAATAAATGAACTTATTAAATCCCTCCATGAAAACTACTTCCTTCCTTCCTTTTATTAACCTTTCACAAAGTGCTTGAGACAGTAATGAAGCAATGAAAATTTTCTCAATTTCGTCCGACCAGTTTTATTACTGACTATTAAACTATAGACAGGTTCTGTTTCAAAGAGTATAGATAGATAGTGTGTGTTTATATGAAATATATATCTTGACTTTTTTTAAAGTTTATTTATTTGCTGTGCTGACAGTGCAGAGCCCACACAAAGCTCAATCTCACCAACCATGAGATCATGACCTGAACCGAAATCAAGAGCCAGATGCTTAAGCAACTGAGCCACCCATGCGCCCCCATTTTACCTGCTTTTAAACCCAGAATTGCTCAGCAAAAGATCCTAAAATACTTTATAAATACATTTCCCAGTGGAATGCTTTCTCTGCATTTCTTTCATACACACATATATACTCACTCAAAGTAATCCTTAAGGATGGTGAGTGAATTTTCCTTCAATCATATTTTTCCTTCTTTCAAAAAATACTTATTGAATGACTGTTATGTTCCACAGGCTAATGTCATTATAACACTGATAGCAGTTAAAATAAAGGTAAAGAAAATTTCAACCACTCAAATCAGTGTTTCTTTCTCTTTTTCTTTTTTTTTTAATTTTTAAAAATATTTTATTTATTTCTGAGAGAGAGAGAGAGAGAGAGAGAGAGACAGTGTGAGCAGGGGAGGGTCAGAGATAGAAGGAGACACAGAATCCGAAACAGGCTCCAGGCTCTGAGCTGGCTGTCAGTACAGATCCTGATGCGGGGCTCGAACCCACGAACTGTGAAATCATGACCTGAGCCAAAGTCTGATGCTTAAGCGACTGAGCCACCCAGGCACCCCTGGTGTTTATTCTTCTACAGTTCCTTCTAGCCCACAGAAACAGGCATGCTTTTTTTTTTTTTTTTTTACTTAGTTTCAATTTTAGTGGTGATAACTTTTTTATTTGATTGACTCACTTAGTAGCATTTTGTTTTGCTGTATATAATCTTCACAGTTACTATTGTTATTATGTTCTGTTAAATGACTATACCATGCTTCACTCCTCTCTTTAAACTATTTAAAAGAAATAACTATCAATGGGTGAAGAGGTTGGTAATTTTACTGTGTAACATTGATGGGATTATTTTGTTGCCATTAAAAGTGATAATTATAAAGAACATGAAAATGCCTATCAGTGGATACAAAACAAATCAAAATTGTAATTATGTAACATAGAAACCTAATATAAAAGTTATACACGTAAATGGATTAGTATTGGACTAGAATACTGAAAAATCTAGTTTCTTAATCAGATGATGATGGATAGTCCTAAATTTTTGGCTTCTATTATACTCTTTAAAATATCTGAAATGAGGGGCGCCTGGGTGGCTTAGTCGGTTAAGCGTCCGACTTTCGCTTAGGTCATGATCTTGCGGTTCGTGGGTTCGAGCCCCGCGTCGGGCTCTGTGCTGACGGCCAGCTCAGAGCCTGGAGCCTGTTTCAGTCTGTGACTCCCTCTCTCTCTGACCCTCCCCTGCTCACGCTGTCTCTCTCTCTCTCCTAGAAATAAATAAAACATTAAAAATTTAAAAAAATAAATAAATAAATAAATAAATAAATAAAATAAAATATCTGAAATAATAAACATATGCCTGATATGTTGAGATATAGTTGTTGAACAAAAAGGTATTAAGTAAATATGAATATTTAAAATGTTAAACTTTCATCGGATTTTAAAAATATATATAAATCTGTGATAAGTGGATAGTGCAATAGCAAGTGAACAATAAAAAGAATCAAGTTTGGAATTTCATGATTTCTGGATTTCTAAATTAAGTGTATATAAAAATGGTATTGTTTGAATATTATTCAATGTCAAAGGGATAAATTTAACAATTAACAATTGTACATGGTAAAGAGCTATTTGAGGTTAAGTGGCTTTTTTACACTTTGTTTTTAGTAGCTTAACTTCCTGAAACATTATTTTGAGAATCAAGATGAATTTAAAAGCCTTTTTTATTTATGTAATCTTTGTTTCTATTTTAACTGAAAACCAATATATATACACCTTTGCTCCGATGCTCTAACTGTACCTTTAATTGATAGCATTCGTTATATAAATTTACATTGTTGGCAAGGATAAATATATTTTGTTTCTTCTGAAATTTATTTTATAATTTATGAAAGTGACTTTTAAGAAATATTTCAATAATATGGGACTGGCTCCATTGGAAGAACATGTGACTCTTGATCTCAGGGTCATGGGTTCGATTCCCATGTTGGGTGTACAGATTACTAAAATAAATAAATAACTTAAAAAATATTTCAATAATGTATGATCAATAGTATTTTCAAGCTTCATATAAGACCAGTGTTTATCTTTCTCTGTCTATTGTGTGTTTTTAGCCCATTTGAAGAGATATTTTAGAACATTACATAATAATATAAAAACAGTCCATTTTCCATATGTTGAGAGCATTCTGGATAAACGTCCTAATCCAAGGGCACCTGGGTGGCTCAGTCAAACGTTAAGCATCAGCTCAGGTCATGATCTCATGGTTTGTGAGTTGAGCCCAACATCCGGTTCTGTGCTGACAGCTCAGGGCCTGGAGCCTGCTTCAGATTCTGTGTCTCACCCACTTGTTCTCCATCTCTCTGTCTCTAAAAAAGAAATAAACATTAAAAAAAACCCACTCTAATCCAATCAATCATGCTGTGATAAAGATGTTAGAAAATGTTGAAATTATGATGAGCCTTAAAAGCTTAAAATGATTATTTCTAAAGCATTGCTTGGTCTCAGGGTCAAAGAAGAGTTAATTCATGTTAACAATTAATATGTTTCAGTCTTAATTTAGTCTTTATTAGGGTCTTGATGTAAATACCATATAAAGTTACACCGTCTAGTACTGTAGCTACTAGTCACATGTGGCTCTTGAAATGTGGCTAGTCTGGACTGAGATGTGCTTTAAAGGTAAAATAAAAATACATACCAACTTTGAAAACTTGGGACAAAAAAAGTGAATTCACTAATAATTTTTATATTGATTACATGGTGAAAAAACATCTGGTATATATTGAAAAAAACATTGTTAAAAAATAATTTCAGCTGTTTCATTTGTTTTTATGTGGCTACTAGAAAAAAATAACACTTAAGTGTTTCTCATTTGTGGCTCTTAATATATTTTTGCACTGGACATTACCAGTAGACAATATAGAACTGAAGCAGTTTTGCCCCTAAACCTCTCAAAGCCTGTAGGAGACAGATTTGTACCCCGGGCTTACTTGATTATTAGTTTTCCAATTTACTTTGCTCCTCTTGGGACAGTTGAAAATGTAGCTATTGAATATTTGTGTCATGCATTCATGATTAGATTTGAGTTTTTTGATGTCCCAAATGTCAAAACAAACAAAAATCCTAATTGTCATGTTGTAAATTTACAACGTTTAAAAACTGTAAAGGTACAAATTACACCTTTAACCAATATCATGAGGCTAACAGGGGCCCCAAGGGAGAAGAACATCTCCTTTCTTGGTTTGATTGGTTGGTTAACGGAATTACATGACTGTTTATTTGTTCCTGTCTTCACAGAAACAAGCTGTTCCCTGAATCAGTCATAAGAAATATTATGTATCAAATATTACAAGGACTGGCATTCATCCATAAACATGGTAGGTTTAAATTTCATTTCCTGCCTCTTTAGATTATTGTCAAGGTCATGAGGTCACACACAGGAATTGGATATAAACTGTGAAATAATGTTCTACTGAATAACTACAAATGTGGAGTATGTGCCTGCACACACTGACATTTTTATTTTAAAAACTTAGAATTTCTATATTGTATATATAAAGTAGTATTTCTGTAATCTATAACTATCTGCCTCTAGAGCAGAATTTGTTAACACTTTTATCATCAGCCTTTAGTCCCAGTTATAATAAAGCCATCCTATAATCTCCTGCCCTGATTTTAGCTTGGAAATGAGAACAAAACAGAATGCCCTTCTTTCGGAAAAAGATTGGAATGCCCTGGTCACATGACCACTTATTAATGTTTACATAAGTAAGTAAGTTTAAAGTGCCCGTGCTTGGTGTTTTATAGTTTTCCTTAGTACTGACGTTTAGTTGTTTCCATTCTTTGTCTTTGTTATTGTTGCTGTTTTTGTTCTTTGAATGAAATTAAGGAAGGTGCTTGTTCTTATTTTTATGTCTTTCTCATTTATGTAGTCTTCATTTATAGTCTTTTATATACCTATCAGATCAGAATAATTAGTCCAAAAAGTTAACATTATTACAAAAATGTTTAGCAAATATTTGTTTAGAATCACTAGATGTTCCAATATTAAATTCGAAGAGTGCCAGACCACTGCTGCGTTCTGAACAGCATTAGGAAATCACCATCATTAGTCTCCTTTCTTGTTTCATCCCATATTTTATATGAGAAAATATGAAAGGAGCAACTTTCCCCTTTAAGTGTTACAGGAAATAATTTAATTTCTAAAAATGCTACTTAAGGGCACCTGGGGAGCTCAGTCAGTTAAGCATCTGACTCTTGATTTCAGCTCAGGTCACTATCTCATGGTTCATGAGATCAAGCCTCACATCAGGATCTGTGCTGATAGCGCAGAGCCTGTTTGGGATTTCCTCTCTCCCTCTCTCTCTGCCCCTCTCCCACTCACGTGAGCACACAATTTCTATCAAAATAAATAAACATTTAAATAAATAAATAAAAATGCTACTTATCATTTATTCTGACAATGTAAGCATTGTCAGAACATTCCTGAATGCCACTTTTCGGTCCATTAAAAGTCTAAAGCGTGTGATAATATACGACAATCCACTGGTAAAGGTCAGTCATTTATTAATTACATAGAAATAAAGGATATATGCTACTTTCATTGTTCATAATGGATTTTCCATCTTCACCCCATTCTTTAACACTCACCAGCATGGTAACTCATGATATTTGCCTGAGTTAGTTTACGCCAATAGAAACAAGTGCAGTGTGGTAAAATCAAAAGCATTATGAATTATTTGGTTTTTGGAAAGACTTTTGTGATTTACTGATATTTTTTAGGTTAGGAATAAAATTGGTTTAGAGTCCTTGGGTATAGAGGAACTCCCAGCAACGTCAAAGCATAAGTGATTGAAGCAAGAAGTTGGCTTGGGGGTTGAAAATTGCTGCTAAAAGTAAAGAACACAAATAAGATACAGTTGGTTACACAACTGATGACAGTGACTTAGGACACGAGACTCGAAGAACAAGAGCTATTTTTACAGAAGCTACACTATTCTTGCTGTAGTGGATAAGCATGTAATACTTTGAGCAAATATTTTTAAAATCTTGGCTGCCCCAAAATAAGACTAATATTTTAGTTAAAACAGGACCAGGTTACTAATATCCTTACATCAGTGAGAATGGGAAAACCTCAACCGTACAAATATATAATTGGTTTGATTCTCTACAATTTATTGTGTCAGTTTACACACCACCGTCTGTGTTCCTGTTCTAGTCCCCAGGGTATGAAAGTGCAGTGTATCTCCCTTGGAAGTTCGTGAAATGGATCCCAACAACTATTTTGAGTAAGAAGTGCCAGATGACACTGAGTACAAAACCGTTGTAATATCACAAGTGAAGCGCCCACCCTGGCTTAGAAGGAATTAGAAAAGCTTATAGGCTTAACATCTGGCTTAAAAAGTTCAGGCTGAAGCTAGGTGGCCCCCCTTCCCCCCCCTCAATGATCCCTACAACAGATGACCAGCCCATCTTGACTCTCCCACCTTGCAAGGTCATTAGAAAACAGGCCACCTACCTGCGTGATCTCCCTTAGAAATGTGCGAAGAGGGCTTTTGTGTCCTTCTTCCTGAGTTTTCCGCCTCATTTTCATTGACCTGCCTTTCAGCTTCAGTAACCATTTATTTTACACACTGAATTGGTAAGTAACCATTACAATTATTGAGTTTTTCAATAAAGCAGCTACCAGGGGAGAACTGGGCTGATAAATGAAATAATTGTAAATGAAAGAATTGGCTAAAATGTGTGGAGTTCTGTTTTTGTTTAATGGACTTTTCAAAGAAGTGACATAAACCTGAATATGCGGCTTTCCTCGGGCTTTGCTTAGGCTCCTTCTCTTCTGCACTGCACCTTCTCATCTGCTGCACAATAATGACTATAATACGTCCTTAAGGTTGTTGAGCAAATGGGCATTTTTAATGACCTTATATATGGTGAGAACTTCTTGCCAATTTATTTTGAAAGCGGGGTGCTGCCTCTATCATTTTTTAGACAATAGTTATGGTTTATTTTTTCCTAAGTTCACATTCCTAATTACAACAGAGAAGTTCAATTATATTTTGTTTAGGTTTCAAATATGTTTACACATGATGATCAATTATTGTTCTTCCTCTCTGTTACCAGGATTTTTTCATAGGGATATGAAACCAGAAAACTTGCTTTGTATGGGTCCAGAACTTGTGAAAATTGCTGACTTTGGACTTGCAAGAGAATTAAGATCACAGCCACCATACACTGATTATGTATCTACCAGATGGTGAGTAGTTTTATGCAATTCTGTAGAGGTTTATGTCTGTGTTGAAGTTTTACTACAAAAGATCATTACATCACTTTCTGGAGGTTCCATATCGAATATTTAAAACAAAATATAAAATTGACTTTGCTTTCTGTGGAGAAAGAAGGATTGGGTCATGACTATTCTGAAGGAGAAAGGATTTCATTAACTGATTGACTGACTCATTCGACAAACATTTATGAACATGTACCATGTGCTCGATTTTATTTCAGGCACGGGGAACACAGAGGTGAACTGAACAGAAAAAAAAAATCTGTCTCATGCGGCTTACATGACATCCAATATACAAATAACAAGTTAAAAACATCATGGAGGGGTGCTTGGGTGGCTCAGTTGGTTAAGCATCCAACTTTGGGTTACATCATGATCTCACAGTTTGTGAGTTTGAGCCCCACGTTGGGCTCTGTGCTGACAGCTTGGAGCCTGGAGTCTGCTCCAGGATTCCGTGTCTCCCTCTCTTTCTCTGTCCTTCCCCACTCACACTGTCTCTGTCTCTCTCCAAAATAAACTTAAAAAAAAAAAACCCAAAAAACAAAAAACATCATGCGTTACCAACAGAAAGACATGCACATGCTCATCAAAAGACACGTAACAGTCCCAAACTGCAAACTACCCAAACATCCATCATGAGCAGCAGAATATATTCACCCAGTAGAATGCTTTATGGCAATGAGAATGAAAAGTCTACAGCTACACACAATTGCCTGAGTCTCACGGAAATAATGCTGAGAGCAAGAGGCCAAACAGGAAAAAAGTACATATGGTAGAGGATTCCATTTATACATAAAGTGAAAACTAACCTATGCTGTCAGCAGTCAGGGTAGCAGTTATGTGAACAGTGGCGGCGCGTGTGGGAGAGGGACCTCCTGGGATGCGGATAACACTCAGTTTCTTGAACTTGGTGCTGCGTCAATGGATGTGTTCTATTTGTGAAAATTCACCAAGCTGCCCTCTTACAATAAGTGTGCTTTCCTGCGTGTGTTACATATTAGTTAAAACAAGAATATTTGTAGATCGGGTGGTGACACGTTATTATGGAGAAAATAAAATATGGAGAGGGACAGGGAGTTGGGTCGTTAGGGGAAGGCAAGGGCACGTTGCTATTGTAAAGAGAGGGTCTTGCTGAGGAGGAGATGCCAGGGCAGGAAGGAGCTTTCGGGCAGAGAAAATGCTGGGTGTGAAGGCCTAGAGACAGGGAGGTCATGTGTGAGTTCTGCAAAGAGCGGAATAGAGAGGGACAGCTGTAGGTGGAAATGAGGCTAGAGAGTTAATGGAGTGGCCAGATCTCACGGGTCCTTACAGGTCATTGTAAGGACTGTGGTGGCTTGTTAATCCGCGTGAACTGGGAGCCCCAGAGGGTGTTGAGAAGAGGTGTGATATGATCTGACATGTTTCAAAGATATCACTCTCACTGCTGCATTAAAAATAGATTTTGGACAAGCAAGGGAAGAAGCAGGGAAATGAGGTAGGAGGCTGTTACAATAATTCTGGCAGGAAATGATAAGGACTTGGATCTGGTGGCCATGGCGGTGGTATTTTTAAAGTAGCGCAACCATGACTTCCTGGTGAATCAGATGGGTGTCAGATTGAGCAGCTGGAAGAATGGAGTCAGCACTAATGGATACGGGGGGAGCACGGTTCTGTTTTAGGATGAGTATCTATTTTCAACGGTGTAAATTTAGACTCTGTGCTGAAATAGGATAAAATTGGGAAGACTTGTTTTCAACATCCAAACTTGGCAAAACCTCCAAAACAATGAATTTTATCTCACAAAAACATCAAAGCATAGTGACAAGTATTGGCGAGGACGTGGGGAAACCGGATCCTTCACACATTACTGGTGTGAGCCTAAAATGGTGCAAAGTAGCTGATAGCTCCTCAGTGGTTAAACATCCAGTTACCACGTGATCCAGCAATTCCACACGCATTTCTCTGGTATATACCCCAGAGAAATGAAAACACGCATTCACACAGAAACTTACGCATGAATGTTCATAACAGCACTACTTATAATAGCCAAAAGTTGGAAACAACCCAAGTGCCCATCCACTGATGCATGGATAAATAAAGTATGGGGCCATATAACAGAACAGGATTCAGCAGGAAGAAGAATGAAGTACTGATGCATGCCACAACATGGACGAATCTTGACGACATGCTAAGTGAAAGAAGCCAGTCACCAAGGACCGAATAGTGTATGGTTCCGCTAGTATGAAGTACATGCCATAGGCAAATCTGCAGACAGAGAGTAGGCTACAGTGGCACTGGGAATAGAGGGTTTTTGGAGAGGTGTGGGGTTTCTTCTGGGGGCAATGAAAATGGTAAAAATTGATTGTGATGATGGACTACACATTCCGTGAATATACTTAAAGCCCCTGAGTCATACACTTTCCAATGGATGAGTTGTATATTATGATATTATGCAAATTATATCTCAATCAACCTGTCAAAGAAAGGTACTGAGAATAGAAGCAAAAAGATAATACTATGAAACTTTCGGGCTGAAAAATCTACACATTTCAATATGGAAAAAAGAAGTTAGAAGTGAGAATATTTCCTACCAGGTACCTTTGCTCTCATGAATAGGGTATTTTGCTCCATGAAAGTTATTGTCAGTTGAGGGAACAGAATCAACTGAAGAAATCAGCACTTTCAAACTGATAAGTAAAAAGAAGGGAAAAAAACACACTACTTAGGGATAATCTTTGTTCATCTTTTGTTTTCTGTCCTTCATATAAATATATCATGGATACAATGCTTGGTAAAATTATACAGCTGTTCTCATTCAGAATATATCTGCTTCTGTTCAGAGCTCCCCCCCCTTCCCCCACTGTGTCTTATAGCACTTATTTCCATATTTATTCATTTGAGTTTCTATCTTAGGCCACATGGACACATCATTTAAATTTGTCTCCAGCTCCCCCAACTGCTTGTGGTCAGGGAAAAGAAGTCACATTCAACATAACCCCAACACACTGTACAAATGCCGGATGCACAGAAGGCCCTTCATACCAATCCCTTGATTGAAATGCATGACCAAACAGAACCTTACTGCCGCTCCATCTTTGAAACCACAGTCAAAATGGCCTATTTTCTTTTGTTTCTATTTTCATAGGTATCGTGCTCCTGAAGTTTTATTAAGATCTTCAGTTTACAGCTCTCCCATTGACGTGTGGGCTGTAGGGAGTATAATGGCCGAACTATATACATTAAGACCACTTTTCCCAGGGACAAGTGAGGTCGATGAGATCTTTAAGATTTGCCAAGTTTTAGGGACCCCCAAAAAAGTGAGTACTCTTGTCCTTAAGTTGTTATAACTTTTGATTATTTATAACTTTTACCTGGCTATTGATACCTTTTGTTTTCAAATAGGCTGATGTTTTAATGGGTTTTTTTTTTCTTATAATCTTTTTTTTCTTAATTGGGTGAAATGAGAAGCCAGAGTCCCCACCAGACTGAAGAAAAAAAAGGTTCTTGCCTTTAAGAACTTAAGGGAATACTCTGTATTTAGCCTTCTGTGTATTTAGTTTTGGGTTGATGGCCAGCTGCTGACTGCATAGACATCCTTGCTTAGATTTTCCTTCTTGCTCTGTGAATGTTCATTAATCCCAGGTGTCCTGGACCTTTTTCACTTTTTCCTGTTTCTTTTTATGTACCTCTGCCATGGATATCTGATTTCTTGAGCTGAGTGCTCTTCAGCTAACTATTGCATTCAGCTAGACCTTTACTTTCTGATATGTACTTCATAACTTTAAGTATGTATCATCATTACATTCTAATTGTATTCATATGTGCCTTGCAGTTAACATCAGACAAGTAAACAGTTATTAGAGCTTTACTGAAATTTGTCATCTCCCAGCTATGTGCAGTTTTTAACACTGGATGTGATGTACAACATATAATGAGGATCTTTGTAATGGTCAGCCACTTTATCAGTTGTCCTTATTTATTCAAAGTCACCTGGATGTCATCATCAAGGTCCAAAAACTAGACAAGAGTTGAATATTCTGAAATTTATAAAAGTGCTTTCTCGGGGTGCCTAGGTGGCTTAGTCGGTTAAGCGTCCGACTTTCGCTTAGGTCATGATCTCGCGGTTGGTGGGTTCGAGCCCCGCGTCGGGCTCTGTGCTGACTGCCAGCTTAGAGCCTGGAGCCTATTTTGGAGTCTGTGTGTCCCTCTCTTTCTGACCCTCCCCTGCTCACGCTGTCTCTCTCTCTGTCTCTCTCTCCTAGAAATAAATTAAAAAATATTTTTTAAAAAAGTGCTTTCTCATTTTTCCCTAACAGTTCTATATTCCTTCTATACTGTCTGTAGCACTGAATTGTATATGAGGTCTGGCCTTTCATTCTCTCATTTATTTATAGTAGTCAACACCAGTGATTTTTATATCATTTCTATGTTTTCAAATTGATTACTAAAAACCATTTTTCTTTTTTATCTTTTTTTTTTTTTTTCCTCTCCTACCCCACCCACTTCTATATCCCCTAAACAGAGTGACTGGCCAGAAGGACACCAGCTTGCATCCTCTATGAATTTCCGCTTTCCCCAGTGTGTTCCTATAAACTTAAAAACTCTTATTCCCAATGCCAGTCATGAAGCTATTCAGCTAATGACTGAAATGTTAAGTTGGGATCCAAAGAAGCGGCCGACAGCAAGCCAGGTAAGGTGAATCCCTCTGGTGCAGTGTTTTTTCCTTTCCTTCCCTTCCCATCCCTTTCTCTTTCCCTTTTAGTTTTGAGAGTTTACAATACCAGGAATACTTTCATTTACAAAGACAAGTCTCTTCTCACCCAGGGTTTTACTAACAGAAGTAAGCCCGAAACCCGAAGGCATCCAGTATGTCATGAATTAATTTCCAGGCCGACGAGACCCCTGGGAGAATTGAGAAGACAGCCACACCAAAGATTTTCTGTGTCCTGTGGTTCAAATGAAGTTGAGGCTGAAAGGAATCAACTTCCCTAATGACAAGAATTCAGGCATGTGACAGCAAATTAGGAAGAAGCTCGTCACTGGTAGTAGAAAGGCATCTCTTCAGTTAGGAAACAGAGTAGATTTTCTGTGCTCTCCTGTGGTTTACAGGTGGGTTCTTGGTCACGGCACACAACAGTGTCGTCCCTCCACGGGACTGGGACACTGTTCAGTCTGCAGCCCCCCTGCCACCAGCCCTTCTACATCTTCCAGTCTTTAAAATGCCGTGGTTGTGTTTGCAAAGGGCTTAGAATTAAAAAGTCATAATAGACTTTATTGCATACTTACTGTTCTTTAAACATAAATTCAGTATTAAAATTGCCAAAACAGGGGCACCTGGATGGCTCAGTCGATTGAGCCGTCCGCCTCTTGATTTTGGCCCAGGTCGTGTTCCCAGGGTCATGGGGTTGAGCCCCGCTTCAGGCTCTACACTGAACATGGAGCCTGCTTAAGATTCTTTCTCTCTCCTTCTCTCTCCCTCTGTCCCCTCCCTGGCTTGCACTCTCTCTCTCTCAAATAAAAAAAAATTTTTTTAATTACCAAAACATTATTTAAGAAATAGTGTTGAGAAATGTTCTCGAAAGGTGAACTGGAAGAACAAATGAGAAAGAATAGTCAAGGCGGGTTTGAATAAGAGTCAGTAATGGGACGACAGTGGTGGGGCAGACCGCGTGCCCTAGCACATATTAAAGCAATCTGTAAAGTGATAGTAATTACAGCAGGGAAGGCGCTAGCCTAAGAATGGACACGTAGCTCAGAGCTGCAGAAGCTGTAAGTCAGCAGAAGGTAAACATGACATCACAAACTGGCGGGGGGGAGGGGTACTGGCATTGGGACGATTAGTTACTTCTTTGGGAAAAAAAAAGTAAATTTAGGTTCTTTTCCCTTTTTAAAAACATTTTTTAATGTTCGTTTATTTTTGAGAGACAGAGCACAGGCAGGGCAGGGGTGGCGAGAGCTGGAGACACAGAACCGGAAGCAGGCTCCAGGCTCCAAGCTGCCTCCACAGAGCTTGACGCGCGACTCAAACCCACAAGCAGGGAGATCATGCCTGAGCCGAAGTTGGACGCTCAACCGACTAAGCCACGCAGGCCTCCCATAAATTTAGGGTCTTATTGGGGCGCCTGGGTGGCTTAGTCGGTTAAGCGTCCGACTTTTGCTCAGGTCATGATCTCGCGGTTCGTGGGTTCGAGCCCCGCGTCGGGCTCTGTGCTGACTGCCAGCTCAGAGCCTGGAGCCTGTTTCAGTCTGTGACTCCCTCTCTCTCTGACCCTCCCCTGCTCATGCTGTCTCTCTCTCTCTCCTAGAAATAAATAAAAATATTTAAAAAAAATTTAGGGTCTTATTTCTCACCAAACTTTTCAATTTTTCAAATAAATCACAGAAAGCTTAAATAAGAACAGACTAAACTACTAAAACTGAAGAAATTATAGGTGAGTAATTGATCTCAGGCTAAGAAATAGAGGAGTATAAAAGTAATAGAAGAAGCCACAAAGGGAAAACTCAGATTTTTTTTTTCATCATGATAAATGCATAAATCCTTAATCCCCTTCACTGATTTCCCCCTATTTCCTCTCTCCCCTCTGGGTGACCATCAGTTTATTCTCTGTATGGAAAAGTCAGATTTGATCACATAAAATTAAAATTTTTCTCATAAAATCTTAAGGCAAATAGCAACTATTCTTTTTAACAAACGGTGGCAGTGTATTTTCTAGTGTTTCTAAATATTGGTTACTTTTGTAATAAAAATAGAATAAAAGTCTTTAAAGAAGACTAAAAAAACAATGGGCATGACACATTTTGGAAAGTCACAGAAAGGGGCTCCTGGGTGACTCAGTCAGTTAAGTGTCCAACTCTTGGTTTTGGCTCAGGTCATGATCTCACAGTTGGTGAGTTCGAGCCCTACATGGGGCTCTGTGCTGACAGCTCAGAGCCTGGAGCCTGCTTCAGATTCTGGGTCTCCCTCTCTCTCTGCCCTTCCCATGCTCATACTCTCTCTCTCAAAAATAAATAAAAATTTTTTTTAAATAACAAAAAAAATAAAAGGCTAGCATATTATAACATGATCTTATTTAAACACACACACACACATATTACATGAGTAGGAAATACTGGGGAAAAAACCCATCACAATGTGAGTAGTATTGTTCTGGTACTGGCATTAGAGAGGATTTTAATTTCTTCTTGAGAACTTTCTATACATCCTTTTTAAATCATTCTTTTTTTGTTCTTGGTCATTTTTTTAATTTGAGAGAGAGAGAGAGAGGGAGCAAGCAGGTGAGGGACAGAGAGAGAGGGAGAGGGAGAGAAAGAGAGAGAGAAGCCCAAGAAGGCTCTGAGCTGTCAGCCTGGAGCCTGATGTGGGACTCAAACTCCCAAACCATGAGATCATGACCTGACTGGAAACCAAGAGTCGACACTTAACTGACTGAGCCACTCGGGCGCCCCTCTGTATATCCTTACTCTGTGCAATAATCAAATATTCCCTGCATAAGGAGCAAAAAATAAATTTTTTCTTAAAGACTCTCCTCTTCTGGAAGGATGATAGCTGATATCTTAAAGCGGAAAAATTGTTACAGATGAAGCCTTGAAATTACGAAACACATTTATAAAGGTTCTAGTTCCAAGATATAGTTGATTTTAAACTTAGGAGTGTTGACATACTAATTAATATGATGACTTAATTAATTCGGAATTTGAGTGCCTTCTGTATGTCGGGTACTGATGTATTTAAATTGTATTTGCAGAGCTCCACTTAATGGTGTCGGTGTAATTAACAGGTACATCGGCTGTGGTGGGGGACATCTCAGAATTAAAAACTCTTTCTGTCTCTGCCGAAATACGCCTCCCTGCCCTTAACCTCTTTCTCGTCCACTGTTTCCTAGCCCTGCTTTTTAGTGGAGGCAGGGAGACCTAGTCAGGAAGAGGTGAAGTTACAGGATACAGGGGCCATGTGCAGAGCTACTTCTGTCCCTCAAAAACTGCCCTTGCAGGCCTGAGAAGACGCTAACTGTGGGCCACGGCTGTGCTCACACACAGGTGGGGGGGGACTGGCTTCCGGCCTTGGGCAGGATGGGCTACCTCAAGGACTCTCCCCACCTCCTCTCCCCCCTCCAATCACAAACAGCAGAACTGGGAGCTTTCCTCCTTCATCCAGGTACATGCTTACTGGTAAGGGGTCAGCATCCACAGCTGAGCTGCACAGAAGGCTTCGGACGTTCTCTAGGTTAATTTCCATCAACCTTGGCACTCCTGACACTTGGGTCAGATCATCTTTGTTGCAGGGCAGTCGTGTTGTTATGCTCGATGCCAGTAGCACCTCCCACCCCCAAATTGTGACAATAAAAAAATGTCTCCAAAGGGGACAATCGCCCCCAGTTGAGAACCTCTACTGTAGACCATGTCACCAGACAGTCGTGAGGGGTCCCCTCCCCTCCACCCACCACCTCCATGCAGCAGCAGCAACTGGTTGACTGGTCAGGTTAAAACTCAGACAGTGATCATTTTTTTATTATTTTTATATTTTCTTCCCATAAATATCTTCTCTTTGCTGGCATGGTGCTGAATACACTCTAGCTCATATGCATTTATCATCTTTCTTAGAATTTTTAAAATTGCTAGTAGGTATGTAATTATCCTTAGGCTAAGAGTAGGCCTGAGTTTTATATAATGTGATCGTTCATCGTTGAAAATGAACTACATAGAAGGTTTTCTTCACTCATTTCCTAACGCCTGTGGACCATGATCAGTATCTAGCATTTCAGTTTGAGTTAATTACATCAAATTTAGCCAGTGTTTATAAGCTAGACTTTGTTTTCATACAGAATCTTTCAACACAACGGTTGCTTTGCCTGGATATTAAAAAATCACATGTGAGTTTGACATTCTTCCTACTCTGTTGTACTTTGTTTTTTAAGTGAAATTTACCTCCCAAATCATTATTTCCCAGTCCTCTTTTTGAAGGTGTCACACAAGGGGAAAACGATGCTTTCTAATCCGTGGCGCATCTCTTGGCTAGTGCTCGATGTTGAGCTGGCCACCGGTCAGTAAGTGTATGTGCAATACTTTTAGGTGAGACCATTTTCCATTGCTTTTTTCCATTCTTTTTCTAGGCACTGAAACACCCATATTTTCAAGTTGGTCAAGTATTAGGCCCTTCCTCACATCATCTGGAATCAAAACAATCTTTAAATAGCAAGCAGGTGGAGCCACCAGAATCGAAGCCATCCTTGGTTGATCCAGAGTCTAAGCCTCTGCCAGACATAAATGATCTGACTGTCAGACAGCCCCCGCCGAAAAACAGACACCAGCCGCTGCAGTCCATCCAGCTGCCACAGGACACGGGTGACCTACAAGCACCAAGGCAACAGGGTCAGCAGAATCCGCCGCAAACGCTGTTTCCGAGCATCGTCAAGAACATACCAGCCGTAAGTAGCCGGTGATGACACTCGAGATGCAGTCGTTTGGTTCAGTTAGGGTTTTGTTTCCTAGGCATTCCTATAAATGCTGGGCAAGATGTTAAAGATGATTCGGGGCGCCTGGGTGGCTCAGTCGGTTAAGCATCTGACTTCAGCTCAGGTCATGGTCTTGTGGCTCATGAGTTCGAGCCCCACATCGGGCTCTGAGCTGACAGCACAGAACCTGCTTTGGATCCTGTGTCTCCCTCTCTCTCTCTGCCCCTTCCTGGCTTGCTCTTTCTTTCTCTCTCTCTCAAAAATAAACATTAAAAAATTTCAAGATATAAAATAAGATTCTGTGTTGAAGTCCCTGCTTCCTCTGGCAGGGCCTTAGCATGAGATAACTTAAAATTCTAATATGGTTTATGCAAAGAAAAACTACCAAAACTAGTGAAATAAGGTCTTGATGCTACAGACTTTCTTTGTTACTTAGATACAGAGGAACTCAAAGCATTTAATAGAATATAGGACTCAAAAGAGCCGACCCTAAATCTTCAGGATTTTAACAGTAATTTTATACTGTTTTTAAATACCAATGAATATGAACAGAGTTTTTTTTAAGTGTCAAGCATAGTATAAAAACTTCCTCTTCCTACTTCTGTTGTTCAGTTCAGGGAGCTCGTCACATGCCATAGTAGCCGTCTCCTCAATGTGTATACTCCCAAATGCACTTCGTTACGGGCATTTTAGGACAGAGAGATCTCAAAGAATACTAACTCCTTATCCATTCCTGCCATCCTTGTATAAGCAAGCCCTGCTCACAAAGCCCTAACCGTATTCTAACATACGATTAATTACCTGTATCTTATGTGTATTGTTTGTTAGCTGGCTCTTCCTACTAGAATATAAGCTTCATGAGGTCAGGGATGTTTGTCTGTTTTGTTTATCAATACAGGCCCCAAACCCAGAATGGCACCTGGCATATGGTAAATTCTCAGCAAATATCTGTTCAAATATCAAATATTCATTCAAATATCTGTTGAACAAATGAATGAATAATTGTCCACATTATTTCTGAGCCACTCCCAGGGTCCTGAGGAGTCCACATCATCTTTGGGGGCATTTCTGACTATTAGAAAGTTCTTCCTTATACTGAGCTAAACTCTGGTCTTCTTTAGCTTTTAATAAAAGTTCATCACTCTTTGAGAAAGGCAGCCATTCAGATATTTGAAAATCGCCCTTAGATTGCCTGCCCTGCTCTCTAAGAGAAATACCTGTGGTTCCCTCACGTGTTCCACACACGACATCATTCACCAAGGACTGAGTGATCCTTGGTTCCTGTGTAGGAAGGAGCCGTCGGGTCCCCTCCCCATCCTGCTTCCCTGTTAGAATGAGGCTGCCAGGACCAGAGGGGAGTATAAGCCACGGTGAATCCCCTCCAACATCCCAGAGCCATGGGTCCGCTCATGCCATCAAAGATTACATTGTTGTTTTTTTCTTGGAAGGCACATCAAATGTTGACTCATACTGAGAGGAAAAGAAATTAATATTTACTGAGTATCTACGAAGTGCCATGCACTATACTCAGTCCTTGTATGCACTGGCTAAGTTAAAGTACCCAATACCCTAGCCCTACATTTTTAGATAGCCAATATAGGTTTCAGAGTTGGGACTGATCATTCTGTCAGCTAAAAGTCCTAAGTTTGTTTTTTACAAGTGCTTCTGCTAAATCGCATATCCTTTACTTCTTGCTTGCTGTGTATTTGATCTCTGGGATTCAAAACATTGTAAGACCTTACTTTTACTTCCCAAATTTCTAAAGTATTTTGTCTCCTCAGTTTAACCATTTTGCCCAGCATGTCACCAGCTATGCATTGGTTTGGTTGTTCATTTGTTTTTTGTCTCCTGTACCTTCATGATGAACAGAATGGCAGTGGTGAGCCCTTGTTCAGGCCACTAGAACTTTCTTCTAGATGGACACTGATCCATTAGCAGGACTCTTGGTCAGACTACTGAACTATAACAAATATAGTTATTTGCTGCTATAACAAAATACCATAAACTGGGTGGCTCTAAGCAGAAATTCACTTTATCACAATTCTAGATGCTGGGAAGTTCGAGATCAGAGCGCTGGCCACTTTGATTCCTAGTGAGGGCCTTCTTCCTGGTTGTGGATGTCACCTTCTTGCTTGGTCCTCAAATGGCAGAGAGAGAAAGCAAGCTCTCTGGAGTCTCTTTCATAAGGGCACTAATCCCCGGTTACCTCCCAAAGGCCACTTGTCCAAATACCATCACATTAGACGTGGGGTCTAAATGGGGGGATGGGGGGTGGGCAGCAGTACTGGCCGTGCTTTGTTGTCCTTTTGTTGCGTCACTGATAGCATCAAAGCCCCTGTCACCCACCTTGTTGAAGGCCACACAGACTACATACATGCACTGTTTGCTTTTTATAAAAAATGGTGGCCTATATGATCTACCACTCCTTTCCCTCAGTGCTCAAAAACTTCCTCTTTAATAACTGATTTTAGACTCTTTGCCCTCATCCTATGCCAAACGTATTACAGTGGAGTTTTCAAAACTCCACCTTCTACTTTATAAAATACTATGTACATTTGCTCCTTTCCAGTCTTCTCAGGCATCCTACTTGATATTACTGACACTGTTCAGAAGCATATAGCCTCAGAGCCCTAAAAAGTAAGCGTCTCAAACTCAGCTAAGTATAACCTTTGATTAATCTTCTTATCTGGGACCTTAGAGCTTTTTATTCTCCTTAGTCTAGAGCTCATTTTCCCTGGCAAAGAAAGCAGTACTCTAACGGAAGGTGGCAAATACTGTTTTTGTCATCAGCTGTCACTGTGACACCACGAGCTCCAAGCTATAGTATATCCGTTCTTTAAACATCTTCTTGCTCCAAAGATAACTGTATTTGCTGATCTCGCTTTCAAATTCCCTAATTTTCAATTGCCTTTTGGATTTCTCAGTTTACAAGCCCCAAGACCACCCCAAATAAATTTGAAGAAAACCACTGTCCAATCCAAGCCGAGTCTTTGTCCTCATTCTTTATTTTTGTTGACAGAGCCACCATCCTGAAATGATTCCTGCCTTTCCTTCTCTGCATCCATTAGGATTACAGTCAGTGACTCAGGATGGAAACCTGACCACTGAGGCCCCAACAGTAATGGGTGGTTTTCTCACATGACAAGAAGTCAGTGGTGGGCCAAACCTGGGCTGGGGCAGCGTGTAGGAGGAACCAGGCGGCTTCTGCCTTCCTGTTCTACCACCCTTAGCAGGTGGTGTTCCTTCCTGTGGCCACAAGATGGCCGCTGCTCCTTTGGGATTGCATCTGCATTCTAGAAGAGGGAAGCGTGATGTGGGCGCCTGGGTGGCTCAGTGGGTTAAGTGTCTGACTTTGGCTCAGGTCATGACCTCATAGTTCCTGAGTTTGAGCCTTACATCGGGCTCTGTGCTGACAGCTCAGAACCGGAGTCGGCTTCGGATTCTGTGTCTCCCTCTCTCTCTCTGTCCCCTCCTCACTTGTGCTCTTTCAAAAACAAATAAATGTTAAAAAAAAAAAAAAAAAAAAAAAACACTGACATGTCTTGCTAGCTCCCCAGAAGTCCCTCCAGTAGATTCCCACTGACAACTCTTTGGCTAGATTGTGTCACATGGCTACATGTAGCTGCAAAGGCAGCTGGGACTTCAGGTATTTAAGTAAGCATATTGCTGCACTGAGTGCTGCCACACTCTTCTCTCACCTCTGTTCAGATAGATGCAAAGTCTAGGCCTTTTATTACTTGTTAAAAGCAAATGTGTTCTTTCCCGAGCATTCCAACCAGTAGGAATCTGTTGCCCTTGCCACCAAATGCCAGTATAACTGCAAAGGCCTCCTATCTGAAGAGCCTGACTTTCTAGAACGCTGCCTTTATCTCATCACTTTTTAGCTCAAAAACATCCAGTGTTCTCCACTGCCCACAGGAGAGCTGCAGCTCGTTAGGCAGACACTTGAAGGCCTTCAGACTCCAGCATCAGTCTGTCTTTGCGGCCCTGCCTTCCTCTACTTCCAGCACCAACCATCTTCTTTGATAAGCACCAACCACCTTTCCTTCCCAGAACACATTCTGGCACTTTTCCATTAAAAAGACATACTCTATATATTTCCTCTTCCAAACTCTGCAACAACAACAATAACAGTAATAATCACAACCGTACCACCTAACTCAGTGATTCTTCTTCTGTGTTAGGCCCTAACCTAAGGACTTGCAACGTATTTTACTATTCAGTTCAGAAGCACTACTTAGATCAGTACTGCATATCACCATGTGAGGAGGAGGAAGCCAGGGCTTTGAGAAGTCAAGTCACTTGCCCAGAGAGACACAACCACACGTGGCAGTTCTCCAAATTATACAGCAATGAGGAGTCAGTTCTGATCCTTAAGTACTTGAGTCCTCCCCCAATCCAAATTCAGAGATCTCTCCTCCCTCTGAATGCCTATCCTATTTTTAGTCCATGCTACCTATTTTTCTTAATACTTTTCATTGTGTGTATGTGTTATCTTAACTATATGGCAGAACCCTTGAGAACGGGTACTCTTAGTATAAAGTAAAGTAGCTTGTGCATAAAAGGCATTCAGCAAATGAGAAGAGATGATGATGACTGATTTTCCACCACAGAAGCCAAATGGCACACTGGCTCACAAAAGTGCTAGGAGGCGTTGGGGTCAGATGGTGTTCAAGTCTGGAGACAGCTGGGCAGAACTCGAGGACTATGATCTTGGAGCCTCCCATTCCAAGAAGCCAAGCATGGGTGTATTCAAAGAAAAGAGGAAAAAAGATTCTCCGTTCCGGTAAGATTTCAAATCCCTCAGGAAAATCTATTTTTATCACATATCAACTTTATGTTACTCAGTACATACAAATGAATGAAGATATTAAAGGCAATAAGTAGCTTAATAGTATTCTCTTCCACAAACCCCAAATCTCTACGCATGGCTCTGGGAAGGTAAGAATCTTGACTTCTCACAGTAATGTTTCTCAGTATTAATGGCTGAGTGGTGTGTGTGTGTGTGGTGGGAAGGCTTCTTGTGAAGTTTTTAGCATACTCTGCTGAAATACGATCACTATGATTCCCATCTGGAATCCGCATGCCTATTTGAAGAAAGCAAAGCACAATCTACAAAGGCAATGATTTCTTCCGATGGTGTTCAGATTCCCTTATTTGTTTGCTTGCTATTCTAAACTTTTTTGATCATTTCCTAAACTTCTTCTGGAAATTTAATATCTCTTGCAGTCCCTTGTCTTTTTCTAAGTCAAGTCATCATTAGTGCACTATTCAGCCTTGAAGTGAGGGTGGGTTAAATGTTGTGAACAAAAGTTTGGGAAAATATTCTTTTTTTCTCTCTCTCTCTCTTTGGACTAAAAGAATAGGGAGGAAAAAATATTGGCAAGAGGCAGGTAATTTTATCTAATAGTTATCTGGCATTCATGTTGCGGTCCACATATCTCTGAAGGTACATGGAGATTCTGTGAGAGGGGATCTATGCATGGATAATCCTTGGTCAATAGGTTTCTAGATCCTCAAGTTCCAGAGGTACTCTTCCCTAAAATACATGAACTTGAGAGTAAGCCTGCATAATCCCCCTCCCAGTTTATGGCAGAAAGTCACATCTCTTAAGCATTTTCAAACTTGAGTGCCATGAAGGCTGAACAACCTTTGAGATGCTAAACAAAGGGAGAAGTCAGAAGGCCAACACATTCAACTCAGAAGGTGTTGTCCTGTAGTATTTCTCTTAAGGGGAAAAGCCCACAATAGAAATAGGGTATTTTAGCCTTATGTTGGAAAGCATGGAGATTCAGAACCACTAAAGCACCAGAACCCAGTGATGCTTGTTCTTTTAAGTGTACTAGAATGTTCTGTGAAACTGTCTGCTTTTCCAAAACCTATGGATATACGCTGTACATAATTTTTTGAGGATTCAGAGTATTTATGGACTAAGGGTAGTTAAGACTTTATTTTATCAAGTCATACCATGAAATACTCCAATTATAATCATTCCTCATAATATTCCACTTTATAAATTATTTATTGTTTTCTACCTACTGTTAACAAGAAATAAAATTATTTAATTTATGATGAGAAATTATAGATGTCAGCTTAAAGATGACAACACCTTAAAGATGTGTAGAGAGCTACATAGTTCCTTTTTGTAAAAATAATTCTTTGCATCTGCATTGGTGTACTATGTAGGTGACCTGAAAACTTTTTTTTTTTTTTAACCCACGTCATTCTAATTCCAGCTGAATTTTATCATGTATTTTAGGAGTAGAAGAGATTTGAATCAAAACCTATAGTTAAGATCAAGTTTGTAGTCCATATACTTAATTCTGGCAAGGGAATGATTGACAAATTTCAATATCAGTTATTCCTTTTCTCTTGAAGTTCTTTAGAAAAACTGTGACAATTTTTCATGTATATTTCTTCCATTTTTTCTTTTTTGGTATCTTCAAATGGCTTTATATGATTTAGACATAATAACAGTAATTATTAATACAATTCCATTTATTAAGCGCCTACCTAAATTTTAATTTATAATCTTCATACTCCAATAAAAATATCTACAGAATAGGATATTGAGAGTCAGATAGGTTGAATGAATAGGTTGCATAAAGTCGGATGAGGCCTAATTCAAAACCAAATCTCTCTCTGTCCTGCACCACACAATTCCTTAAGCAGTAGGAGCTCAAATACTTGGCGCACTGAATGGACTCCGCCATTCTCTGCTCAGTTCCTCAGCCAGTCTAGGCTTCCTCACAGAGAATACAAAAGACCAAATACTCAAGTGTGAAATGTTTACTTATTAGGTTATCTCTTTTAAAGTCAAGAAAAGCAAGGTATTTATACTTGTATGCACGCTCGGTGGACACTCCCTAAATACCTCAATGGTGTTAAGCCACGGTAGGAACAGGATGGAGTCTGTCTGCACCCATCAAATGTACAGCAGCAGAAATGAGACCTTCAAGTCAGCCTAACACCAGGGCAGAGCATTATGAAGTGCTGCTAATGAAGGAGCTACAAGGAGCTCAGGAGTCCTGAGTCTGGGCAGACCGCTTTGAGGAGGAGAGGAAAGTTCTTTTGAGCAGTTCTGTTCTTTTGAGCAGTTTTGAAAATGGGTAGAATCTCAGCAGTTGGTATGACTACAAGTGAGCTGAGTCAAAAGGAAAAAGAAGCCAGAAATGGGTGGGGCTGTTTCTAATGAAAGGGTCCTTCTCCCTGTGTTGAGGGCTACCCCTGCGCGAGTGAGGGTAGCCAGCAGCTCAAAGGGCCAACCAGGCCAGTGTCAGTCTCCGAGGGGGTCCCACACAGCCTTCCTGCTCACACATTACGTTGGCAGGCAGTGATGGTGGCTCTGACGGCCTTCCCTTTCAGCAGGCGGTCTTCCCACATGAGAAACCCACAACGGCAGCAGTGGCTGGAAAGCTAGAAACATTATGCACGGGCAGTTCGCTGCTCAGTGATGAAGCTTTCTGTCACATCATGGCTGGTACTAGAAATGATTCTATGGGCTGCCTAATATCTCTCAGGGGAGAAGCTGTCACTCAGTGTTCCCGTCAGCAAAAGGACTCTGACAGAAACCGTGTTAAGTGGGGTGGCCCTGCCTGACTTGAAAAGACATGCAGGGGGCGGGTGAGGACATAGTAGCTGTCGTCTTCTCACTTGTCACATCCTGACGCTACCTTTTGTGGTCTTTCAAGGCTTCCAGAGTCGGTGCGCTCAGGCTCCCACCACTCAGCAGGGGAAAACAAGAGCTTACCCGCTGCTGTTTCCCTGAAATCAGATTCGGAACTGTCAACTGCTTCCACCGCTAAGCAATACTACTTGAAGCAATCAAGATACCTTCCAGGTGAGTAGAGAACATACAATGTTAATGCCAACTAGAGTAGGGGTCAGGCTCAAGTGTCCTGGGATTTTTGCAGAAAGGGCACCAGTAAAACAGCCTGGTCATCCTTGTTCCCAAGTACTTTTCTGGGTCTCCTGCCTCTGGGAAATCTGCTCGAGAAATGGCTAGCAGTGGAAAATCAAGATGAGAGTATCCTTAAAAAAAAAAAAGCCTCTCTCTCCTGCCAAAGCTATGCCTTTAGTAAGTGCTAAATTTTATTAAAATAATTCTGCACCTCTGCTATACCATTTTATAAAATGTAGGATTTTATGCTGTTTCCTAAGTGATCGGGGTTGTGTGTTTGAAAGATCATTGTGGGTAGAGCATAGGGGCTCAAGAGGCCATTGCACGTGTCTAGAACGAGAGGGTAGTGGCTTGCTCCAAGGTGGTGAACGTGGACACAGAAATGGGTAAGATCTCCACGTATTTCAGTAGGGGAAAGATACGACTTGCTGACAGATTGGCATGGGTGATGGTAACTAATGAGGAATGACTATTGGCCCCTGGGTGGGCGATGGTGACCTCACCTGAGAAAGGGAAGATCAGGAGGAGACAGGAATACAGAAGTAGGGAATCTCGGGAGTTGGGGTTGGTGTGTCTAATAGACGACTATCTAGTAGATGACTGAATATATAAATCTGGAGCTTAGAAGAAAGATCTAGACAGATGGTGGGTAGTTTCTGTCATGGCTGCAGGTAGCATTTTCTCCCCAAAATCCGGTTTAAAAAGAAAAGTTTAAACCCAATCTAGCCTAAAAGGGAATTGATTTTTAAGTGGCCATATATCTATACAGATATGTCTTTAGTCCCAAACGAGGAAAAGATCAAGAGCTGAGAAAAGATGTTTTAGGTAGAGGGGAAAACACTGGCTTCTCTGAATAGAATAGGCTGCACACTTGGAGTTTAAGGGAGCTCAGGGGAGAATGAGGAGAGGTGAGGTAGGGAGAGCCAGCAGGGGTCAGGTGAGACAGCACCTTGAGGGCAGGGGAAGGAATTTGGGGTTTGTTCCAGCTCGGAAGGAGGCCTTTGGGGGGAACCTTGCGAGGTGAGTGGCGACCTGACACATGTGATAAAAAGACTGTGTAAATGATGGCTCGCACAGGGCAAGACCAGACGCAGGGAGGCCAGGTGGAAGCCACTGTAGTCCTCCCGGGACAAGATGATGACGACGACTGAGCGGGAGCTGGGCTCCTCAAATATTTTGGAGATGGTCTTGCTGATGGATGCTGTAGGAAATAAGGGAAAAGCGAATTTGTGGCTTGAATCCTAGGTGGCCGGTGGTGCCATGCTCTGAGATGGGGAAGGCTGAGGAGAAACAGGATTGGGAGGGAAAGAGGTGGTCAGTCTTGTGTGCGGGCTGGGCCGTTAGAGTTGAGAGGCTTGTGAAACATGCCAGCGTGGAGAGGCCATGCAAGAGGTGGGAGGGAAGAGCCAGAAACACTGAGGAGGGACCTGGGCCAAAGAGAAGGGCGACTCCCAGACAGTATTTAAGTCCATGGATTGAACAGGATCACCCACAGAGACACTGTGAGCGGAACAAGGGTAGTGGGAGAGGAGGGCGAGGGGGACTCAGGAAAGAGGAAAAGAAGGAGCCAGGCAGATGAGGGGGAGGCCATGAACCGGTGGTTTGCAGAGGCTGAGATGGGACAGTTGACCTGGAAGTTTCCTGCTGAGCGGTTAAAAGGAGGGACAGAGCCCGAATAAATTGAACAGTGGGGACGTCCCTGTGACCTTGGTGAGCAGTTTCAGTCTGGAATGGTGAGGGAGAACGAGGCCGGGGTGGGTGGAAAAGCGAAGAGAGGTGAGAAATTCGTGACTGAACAGGTAGACAACTCTTCAGGGCTGTCGGCTGGGAAGGGGAGCTCAGAAACGGAGCCGTCCTGGAGCGGGGCTCAGGGCGCGCTCCGGTCATGGTGATTCCGGGTCTTCGCAGCTCATATACGTGTGGATAGGAATGACCGCTTACAGAGGCTGGGGTAGTTATGCAGGAGAGGAGAGGAATCGATGAGGGACTGAAGTGCTGAGGAAGGTGAGGAAAGATGAGGGAGGCACTTTTGAAAGCAGCAAAGATAACTTGCCTTGTAATCTCTATCTAGATACCCGCAGGTTTGTACACTTTGGTGTTGAAGCTATGAGGAGTTCTGATCCTACTGCAAAAGCAGGGATGTAGCAAAATTCCCAGAACAGATTCATGGGGGATATTTTTCCCTATTTAAAAATCAGTCAATCAATCAATCAATCATATAGCAAATCGGTATTTTCTTATCTATACAAGGGAGCCCTCTGGTGGTAGGAAAGGCAACTGTAAGTTTTTCTCAGGATAAATAGATCCAAAGCACCCTGTTTTCATTCTGCTCCCTAATATGGTTTTCTGGGACATATTTCAGGATATCTGAAACTGGTCTGTCATTTCCTTTTTAACCAGAAAGATCAGATTCTACAAAATACTGTGGGTCAGAAGCATGGCTGTAATTGAGACAATAAGCAGACCTGAAATTAGAACTGCTTGAAATCTAAACCTGTGTCTTCCTGTTCCCCTGTTGGCATTTTTCCCCTTGAAGATGCCCCTCTCGAGCTGGATGAGATTTGAAACTAGAATTGAGCTCAGTTCGGTCACGTGGGCAGACATTTACTGAGCACCTGTCATGAGCCAGGGATGACTGCAGAGGATAGAAACCGAAATAAGAAGCGATGCTTGACATTTATGATCCACAGTTATTTTTTATAATTAAGTGTCTTCAGGAATAAAGAAAAAGCATATCTTTGGGGACCCTCTTTTTTTTTTTTAAACCATAAAGCCAAGCATAAAAGGTCTTCTTAAGCATCAATCTTTAGGATCACAGGAGCTCTAGAAACGTACCATATACTTTCAGGGCAGCATGACATCATTCTACAAGACTTGCAGATCTGTGCCACTGGCCTTCAGGGAGAGAGGCACAGGAGTCCTAATTATTGACCTGCTACTGACTGGCTGTGTACTGGACCAAGACTTTGAGACTCTGTTTTCTGTTATTTACATGGGACTCCACTCACCTCTCGGCTCACCCTGTAATCCTTAGGTACTTAACTATAGCAAGGCGGCCACAAACAGAGTGTGCAATGGAAGCAAAAACCATCGCTCAGAGGTGCCCTCTGGTCTCACCCCCTGCTCTCAGAATAGGACCCTCTGGCACCAACTGATGCCACCGAGCAGGCAGGGAGAGCGGTTCCTTCCACAGCACTTTTGAAACCCTGCTCCTTCTCAAGTCCGTTTATCACTTCTGTCCTTTCCACCCTGTGTATTCAATGTCCTATGTCATTTCTACACTTGCCTCTCTGACTGCATTTGAAATTTCTTAACCTGGCACACAAACTCCTACGTGATCAGACCCCTGCTCCCCTCTCCAGCCTCATTTTGTGCCAGCCCCTGTTCTTTCTTCCTCCATGGAATGTGGCAGGTTCCTTCTCACCTTGGGCCCCAAGTCTACACTGTGGCCCTTCCCAGGAACACAGCTCCCATCCACTCCAGAGTCCCAATCAGATTCACATTTCAGCTTAAAATTACTTTTTTTAAAAAAAAAGAATGACTGGTGGAACTTCTAGAGAAAGTTTCTTCTGTTATTTGCCTGCCTTCTCAGCACCAGATTCCTTTAAACAGTTTATATACCGTTATTTACCCATTTGCAACCATTAATGTTTCCCTTTCCTTAGAGTAGACTGTAAGACCCAAAAGGGTAGAAACTATGGTTTTGGTCACCACTTACTGTCCAATGCCGCATACAATGCCTCGCGCGTGATAGGTGCTCAGTAGGTATTCAGTGATTTACTTTCCTCGGAGGCAAGGGATGATGTATTCATTGCTACCTCTATCAGTGTTTGCTATGTAGAAGGGGCCCAGTAAAAGCCTGTAAACTAATATGTAAATGACTTCACATTCTAGATTGTGTCAATTTCCAAGAAATCTGGAATCTTTAAAAAGGCAGAATTAAAGCAACTGTCTTTGCTAATGGATATATTTACTTAAGGAAAAAAAAAAAAAACTAGGGATATCACCAGGCTAACTGGATTAACAGAACAATTTAAGTACTCAGGGCCCATTCTTTATTGAACTACATTTATGAAAACTGTTCATTGAAGGAGATTATTAGTATCCCTGCCTACCTTGCCTTTTCTTTGGGGGTAAAGGATTTTTTTGTATCGATTTTTTCATGAGTTATTGCTACCCTTTTAGAAAGCGCATTTTCTTTCTGTCTCTCAATAATAAAAATGTTAAAAAATTTTTTTTAATATATTAAGTTAAAAACCACCCTTTAACCACTAGTATACTAAAGTCTAAGGTTGACTCCACATTTCACAGATTTCAGAAAATAATTAACAGTTTAGATTATTGTCTAATATGGAAATAAGGTTCACAGATCTTTACACATCTACGTGCAATCTCTCAATTCTCCTGGCTACACTAAGTGTTCCTCAAGGGTCTGGTGCACAGACATATAATTTTAAGTTATACTTAAAATAAATCAATTTGAAGAAAATTTGTGTACTACCTCAATTTTCATAAGACATCTAGCCAGAAATGTCCCATGTTTAATGATTATTACTTGTATTATAGAAAATACCTTGCGTTTACAAAGCACACTATGAGGATTCTGCATTATTGGAAGCATTCCGGGTTAAAGCAAAGATCTGCCACATTGTAACATAAATTTATTTCCATTCTCCTCCAAGTTATTTCTAGTGTCCATTTGAATGTATTATGTACTTTTCTGTCAAGTTAATGATCACATCTTAACCTCTGAAACAACTATTTTGTTCTTCTAAGGTGTTAATCCCAAGAATGTGTCCTTGGTAGCCAGTGGAAAGGATATAAACCCATATACTTGGAGTAATCAGTTATTTCCTAAGTCACTGGGACCCATGGGGGCAGAACTTGCTTTCAAAAGGAGTAATGCAGGTAAAGCAAAAATCCATTTAAAGTATACCTTTACATTGTTTTCCTTCTGCAGATTTTTACTTTTAACTAGATTGCAGCTGCCTTCTTCCAACTGGGATACCCTTGGGGGCACCCAAAGTTTTCAAACTGGTACTTGAGCACAGGTGGTTTTAAGGGAGTCACACGCCAGATCTCCACTTCCATACGGATTCTTTCCTCAAATGGATCTCCCTGAGCAGTGCGTCTCTAGTCTCCTACTTCACAAAACTAAAGACACATTGTCTTGTTTACTATGGTGTGTTTCCACTTTCCCGAAAGTGTTAAAATATCAACTATACCTGGAGTGCCAGTCCAAGAGACCGTTTCATAAAGTTGGGATCAATGTTGAGAAAGCGAGTAGCGGTGATAATGGGGCAACAGGTCCTGTTGAAGTCAAGTGGTTTCCAGTTCTTAACCTTCACGACATTGAAGAGCCCAATTGAATTATTAGCTGACAGAAAATTAAAGTTCATTTTTAAAGTCACGGTATAACTTTTGGTCTAGAACTGTGAATAGGATTCAGACTGGTGTGACAAAGCTGTAATAAAAAAAACCTTTCATTCCCAACTATCTGTTTTACATTTTAAGCAAGGTTTCTCAGTACTTACATTTCCAAAAAGGAACAAGAAAAAAGGAATGGAGTTGGCCCTGAAACCTGATTTTAGCAATAAGCAATATTCATTTGTGGACACATGGACAGCTTGAATAAGCTGCCATCTTTCTCACTGAGATGAATTTCTCCCCAAATAATGCCTTTTAATGTTTAGCAATCAAAACTTATACTATTCAGCTTTTTTGATTAACTATAAGCAATGAATTGTCATAATTATAACTAACCTAATCCAGAAAAAAAGTATTTTAACATACTTATGGTTATAAGAAACTTTTGAAAGATTTCAATTTATACTTTTTTAAAAAATATGTTTAATGTTCGTTTATTTTTGAGAGAGAGAGAAACAGAGCATGAGCAGGGGAAGGGCAGAGAGAGAGGGAGACACAATCCAAAGCAGGCTCCAGGCTCTGAGCTGTCAGCACAGAGCCCAACATGGGGCTTGAACTCAGAGGTGGTGAAATCATGACCCAAGCTTAAGTCAGATGCTTAACCGACTGAGCCACCCAGATGCCCCTATTTATACATACATTTGAGTGATCAATTTAAAGACTTTTAAGCCTAAAACTATATTTGTTTTTTTTAACCTAAAATAATATTTGGATAAAATTTGGGCTTTGACATGAATGAAAATAAAATTTGAGAGAGAAATGAGATTAAATTGAAATTTCCAACTGTTAAAAAGGAATATTGGTGGGCATAAAATCACCATGGTATTGGGGCGCCTGGGTGGTTCAGTCGATTAAGCCTCTGACTTGGGCTCAGGTCATGATCTCACCATTCATGAGTTCAAGCCCTACACTGGGCTCTGTGCTGACAGCTCAGAGCCTAGAGACTGCTTAGGATTCTGTGTCTCCCTCTCTCTCTGCCCCTCCCCCACTTGCATTCTGTCTCTTTCTCTTGAAAATAAACAAACATTTAAAACATTTTTTCTTTAAATCTCCATGGTACTTAGATTCCACTGGTTATAGTTAAAGGAGAGATATAGCTAAAGGAGAGATTTTTAAAACTATCTTTTAGTTTTAATTTTAAATGTCTATAATTATAGTATGCCACAAAGGACAACTTTTGGAACTTATAAACTAATAAAACTTATGCTGAATAATCTTACATATCAGTTTAAAATGTGTGAAGAAGTAAAGAGCTTTTTTAAAAAAAAAAAAAAAAAGATAGTGTTTTGGTATTAGACACCCAAAACACCTGAGGGTCACTATAGCAGTCTACTGGAATATTCTGATGTGACATTAACACTGTGGACATTTTAAGTGTCAAACACTGCAGCACTGTAGTTTACTCCTTTTTGCCAGTATTTTAAAATAATATCCACTGAACCGACTAGTTAAATACAAATGAGTTATGGTTAAATACAACTTCGGGTCTCAGGGGAATCTATAACTGGCTGGCATCAAATGAAAGCTATGACCACACCTGAGAAGACTTTCTCATGTTAAGGGTGCTTCCTGATCTTTTCATTCATCATCTAATCAATCCTTTTTTCTTTCCCTCTGCTTTTCCTAAAATATTCTTCTTATTCATTCTTTCTTTCTACCTGCCTTCTCTTCAGAGGAAAGCATAATTAAACCAATTGAAAAACTATCATGCAATGAAAGTTTTCCTGAAAACTTAGAGGACCCACAAGGTAATTTCTGGGCATTCTAGATGAGCACAACTTGTTCTTTGAATATCTTGTCCAGTGTTCTTTTCCACATTTGCCCTGAATCGTGTCATACAAGGCCACTATGAAGGCCAAGGTCACTTGCTTTTAGAAGTCAGACCAGGACCAGGAGAAAGAGAAGCATTCTGCAGCATCAGGAACTCCTTTCTTCAGTAGTTGGGATTCTAAGACTAACGTGCTCTCAGAAAGTTTTATGCCTGTCTCCTTAAATTAATTATGACAATTTAAATAAATGAAGCATATCTACTGAAAAGAATTAAAAGATTTCCCAATTTCGTAATCAGTATTCCTGCAAAAATTCTGTTACTTTCTGAAACTCATTTTTTAAGCGTCAACAATCATTTAAAATTAAGAGCTAACCAGGTTAATAGAGACAGTAGATTTCCTAGAGGTTCAAGGTCGCTGATTCAACAGTCCTAACTACTGGCTCCAGCCTAAAACTCTGCAGCTCACCAGGTGCTGCAAAACTAGCCAGAATAATTTAAGAAGAGTTCATTTTCTGTGCATCTTTCCCTAGCAACTTCTTCCTGTAATAGGAAGACGCAGCCTGCTAAGTATTCAGCACACGACTTTTAGAGTCTAATACATCCCCATACTGTCGCTCAGTGGGCCTTGTGATTGTGGACAAGTTACTTAGGTTCCCTGCGTCGGTTTCCCCATCTCCAAAATGGAGGAAATAACATTTATCAACGTATTATTATATAGCCATACCTAGGATTTTTGTCACAGTAAAGCATTTAATAAGTGTCTGCTCTGGTGAGGAGGAGGAGACCAGGGGCGATGTTGTGAAGCTCTACTGAACTTTCTTTCAAAAGTCTTTCACAGTAGAGGGCTGCCGGGGGATTTCGAAGGCGCACACAACTGTGTAAGCGGATAACGCACTCGCTGTGTAAAATCCCATTTCGGTGACGGTGCTGCTGTTTAACATTTGTTAGTTCAAGAGCAGATACTTATTGGGAGCCTACTGTGCGAGCGCTGTGGCAGACTCAGGGACAAAAAGTTCAGAGTCCACACTTGTGGACAAATAACACTGAAAAAATGCTTCAGCCGTCGCTGCCAAGCAAGCAGTTCTTGAAACCACCACCACGGCCAGAGCCCCGCTTCACCCCCAGCTGACAAACTTGTCCCCTTTCCTGCACAGCGAGGCCCCTGAAGGAGGAATTACATCCATTTCTTCCTCTTATTTCCACTTTGCTCTTCAGCTCACTGTAATTTGTCCTCAGATGGCTTCAGGCCACTGAAGCTCCTGCCAGGTGCTGACATCATCCTAGTGGCCAGACGCCAAGGGTGGTGCAAATCCCACCAGACCTCGGCCTCCTCCGCCTGCCTTCCCTCCGCACACTGTGCCCTCTCAGCTATTCAGACCCCGCTCCTCCCAACACCTACCCTCCCTATTCCCTCTCCTCCGCGGGTTCCTTTTCTGTCCTCTCCCTTCATGCTGGTGTTCCCTGGGATTCCATTCTGGGTCTTCGCACACCCACTGTCCCTCTGTGCTGGCTCCTCCAAGCCCATGGCCCGTAACTGCCATACTCGGTGAGTCCATATCTCCAGGCCAGCTCGATACTACAACCCGAATATCCCTTGGCTACCATGTCTTTCTAACAAACCTGACCCTCCTGTATTGCTGTTGTTAGTCACCTAAGATACACACTTAGGGGTTCATATTCCTCTTTCCCTACCGCCCCCCCCCCGCCCCCATACACCCACTCCGTTCTCTTCTCCATTGCCTCTTTGACTCCCGGAGTTCAGACTCTAATACTCGCTCATTTCAGCTACAGCAATGTCGACCTGTGTTCTGCCTCTAGATTCTCCCCCTTCGGCCCATCACTCTACTGCCCCAGTTTGATCATTCACTAATAGCAATGAGGATGAGGATGATGACAGCTGACGTTTACTGAAAACCAGACTCTATGCTAAGTGCTTTGCATACATCTCATTCAATCCCTACAACAACCCTGTGAGTAGGTGGAGTAGATGCAGTCATGATAGTGATTTTACAGAAGGAAGACGAGCAGAGAGCAGTGCAGGGGTGGGGGCTTCCTGGCAGGAAACATCGTCTCAGGTTAAGAGAGTCATAAAAACACTTGGTGTATTCAGGGCAAACAGCCTTGGGTTCATGTGCTAACCTGGTCCCTTACCATGATAATATAGGCAAGTTCTAAGGGCCACAAGGTGTGGATAAAATATACATCTAAAAGGGTTGTTATATGGACTGAATAGGATGGTCTATAAAGCCATAGTGCAGTGCTTGAAATAGCATCTAGAATTAGCAGGGATGGTGGTTCGTATTCAAGATACTCTCGGGTGCTTTAAAATGTTCACCTTCTGACCATGAAACTTTATGATACGTCACTAGGAAATCTTGGAAGTTATGCTACTTACAATCAGTCAGGATATATCCCTTCCTTTCTCAAAAAAGAAGTGGGGTCCGCTGGCCAGAGGATACACTTAGCACCTCTCGGTGCAACACCTTCAGGTAAGAACAGCTTTAGAGTTTTTAAGATTTCTGATCAGAAAGGAGCTTCTTCTAAGTTTATACACTTTGCCCACGCGCAGACTTGTAAATCAGCCTCACCTTTTTAACGCAATTCTAATTATTTTTGGCAAAATGACCCTTCTTCTTCTGAAGATGTGGTTTGAGAGTCTGTTGTAAGAGCTGCCTTTAATGAAGTGGTGACTCTCTGCCAGGCACACGGATTATGCTACTGAATCTTCACAAGACTGGGTGAGGCAGACCTTTCACAGATGAGGAACCTGACAGGAGGTAATTTACTGAGGGTCACGCAGCTCCTACATGGCGGAGCTGCGAGAGGAACCAGTTTGTGGAATTCCAGAGAACATGCTGTGCGACCCAACGGGATGTAAAGAAGGTGCATTTTTCAGAGCTGCGCACCCAGTACCTGGCACAAAGTGGGGGCTTCTTAAATACAGGGATGCTGTTCGTGGACCCCTCCACGGTGGTTCCTCTGCCGAGTGCAGAAGTGAGCCGTGGCAGAACTCTCCCACCCGGGCTCCTGCTCTGTCCCTGGGGCAGATGGTGGCCGGTCTGCTTGCTTCTCCGCCCTCCAGTTATGACCCAGTCGGGTGCCGGCCCTGAAGCGGCATGGCACCACAGCCACATTCGGGGTGGTGATTCTCTACTTGAACTTGTACTTGCCTGACTGTGAAGGTCCTCAAAACCACACTAAAATAGAGGTCCTCGTGAAGGCACTTAAAATAAACATCAAGGCAGACAATCAGAAGTTTGGTGTGACAGGCAGTTGAATCAATCCACTCTGAACTTCGAACTCCTGATTAGAGTTCACACTCTAAGGTTCTCTGAAGTTCAACCTCTAAGGTTCACACTGTTGGAGCGAAAGCTGTGAGAAGCACTGGACTTCTGTAATTTATGATTTTGAACCACAGCAGAATTGCTTCAACAGTACTTAGTTACCTTATCTGTGAAAAGCATGGCTTCATTATCTCTGCTGAAATGAAATATGTAAATAAACACTTTATATACAGCAAGTGATTTTTTTTTTAAGCCTCGGGTATTTTAAGCCAGCCTGACAGTGAGTCAGCAGCCATGGCTTCATAGCAGTTTTTAAAAGATGAGCAGAAAATCGTAATGTTTCACATTTAAGTATCTGCTCTTACAAAATGAAAGAGTGGGCATTTTAAAGGAACAATTTTTATAATATGTGAAGGCCTTTGTGTATTAAGTATTATATGTCAGATTAGCGTGCATGTTCCTGTTTTTATTTTTTTTTTAAGGAAATGCTTTCTCATAACTTTTCATCTCTTCATTTCCTCTGCTCATCAGATGTTCCTACAGATGGTGACAGGAGGAAAGGTAAAAAAAAAAAGAAGTAAATATTAATCACTGTCAAGTGGTCAATGCAAATCCTTAGGAAAACACTGTTCTGTAAGAGATGTGTCATCCAGTGCTCCCACTGGTGTGAGTTTCCCACAAGAGAATAAAACCAGGTCATTACCGTATTTACTCAACTATCTGCCCTTCTCGCAAAGCCTTTCTGCTCTTCCTCAGCCTCACCCCCTGCGTTTAGAGAAGAAAAATCGCATTAATTTCTTCCAGCTTGCCCTCCTAACCTCTCATCCTGAACTTCCCCACCCCTCCTCCCTGCCTCCCTGCTGTGTGGTAACAACAAGGACCTTGAGGAGTGACTTCTTCCTTTGCAAGGGCAGGGAGGGTCCTGTTTTAAGAGTGCTACATTCATTAACTCTATTCCAGAAGGTACTATTATTATGGTCTCCATTTTACAGAGGTTTTATTTCTTGCTGAAGGGTACATAATCGTGGCACTGATTACGGGCAAACATCATTCCTTTAGCAAATATTTTCTGCAAGAAGTTAAATGCTCTTCATAGGACACGTGCTGTTTTTAAAATAAATACACAGCAAGGGTCAGAGGGCTGACTGCCCCACTAAGGAGGTGCGGGGCAAGGTCCAGCTAAGACACAAGAGCGTTTCTTGCCTTGCCATGAGATCTCGGCCTCTCTGTCAGCTACTGAGTTCTTCACCAAGGGTGCCTGAGACCTAAAATTATGATTTTTCAGAAAAGAATCCTAAATGTCCACACTACAGCCTCCTTGGCAGAATGACTCCCTCTTCAAAGGTTTTAGAAATGATTTCCTGGACATGGTTTCCCTCAAATGCCTTCAGGACTTGACACGGCTAGGTCATGAGCTGGGAAAAAGTCCACTATCACTCCCCAAATCCCTCATTTTGCAACCCAAGAGCCTCACCCAGCTGTTAGCTGAAGACTGCATCCCCTCCCCCATCACCCCCCAGGGGACTCCCTCCCTCTCTCTCTCTCTCTCTCTCTCTCTCCCTTGCTCCACTCCCTCCCTCACCCCCTCCCTCAGATCTGCAGCCCTCACAGACTGGTGTGTGTCTGCACTCCCCTGGGTTAGAACAAAGGGGCTGCTCCCAGAAAACTTGGTTAACTGTTTAACCAGTCCTTCCTTCACGGTTCAGGGTTAACTGGCTCTTCTGAACACTTCGTCCCCACCTTGTTAGGTAGCTTTTTATTGGTTTGAACCTGGAGAATTTTAAACCTGGTAAGTGTAGGATGACCAGACAGGGTGACTCTCCCCAGGGCAGTTCCTCACTTAATGCTTTGTTCCCATCACGCTGAGGTCGGCAGCACCCTGGGCCCATGTGCTCCCATAATTTCCCCTCAACTCCTGGTTTCACAGAGAAAGTTTAGGGAAAAACAAAACAAAACAGGGAAACCACGTGAGTGAATACGGTATGGTTCGTGTTAGGTGTACAAAATGGTCAGACTTGTCTCAAAATTGACACTTGGTTTAATCCAAGAGTGACAGCCAGCACACAGTGTGAAATGATACTTAAATCCCAAATTGAAGGATCAAACACCCCTCTTCAGACAGGGCACCTGGGACACTCAGCTGTAAATGTGAAGTGAGGGTGAGTGAGGGAAGGACTGGAGAAGAGATTAAAGTTCTCTGTAAAATGATTTACTGTTTTGTCATTTGATGTTTAAGCAATTTTAGCTTGTAAACTGTTCCATAACAAATACTTAACAAATTAAAATTTCACAAATATCTAATCAGCCAAAGTTATGAATAAAGCAAACCTTATGACAAACGGTTCGGGATCTTAGGACTAGCTCACCTTTTAAAGGAATTGTTATTGCCCTTCATTTTCCCAATTAAAAAAGTGAAGTTTCTGGCTTCCAAAAACCACATTTTCATGTTTAAAAGAAATCTACTATGGGATCCCATCTATGTAGCTCCACAAAGGCAGAACTTTATAGGGTTAACAAGTACAAATGAAGTTTCTGCAGTAGGTATTATGCTTGAATATTATTCATATGTAAACACTGTGTGATTTTACAAAGTCACTCACACTGTGGGTATTGCCTGTTCAACAGGAACCAAGAATTTTCTTGGTCATCCTAATTGACGTTGCCTTCCCAAATGTGATAGGCATCGGAGAGAACCCAAAAAATCAGCAGCAAGAGTATCAGAACTGTAAACCAGAAATACTGGCTCTTAGCAACTGAGAATTCTGTATCAACATAACACTAAACTAGAATTTTGAGTTTTACTATTAAAAGGAAAAAACACCTTAGGGACCACTGAACTAATCTTTTAAAAATAAATTCAAAACTTCCCCATGGAATGAAAAGATTTAGATTGCCTTATTTTAAATTTGAGAATCAAATGAATAAAGTTGTAACTTCCAATTCTGATTTCTTCCAGAATATACCTGGAACACAAAACCCAGTCGGGGGCAGTTTTCAGGACCTACTTACAATGCTACGGCCAAGAATCTCAATATTGTGAACCGCGCGCAGCCTGTTCCCTCAGTGCACGGGAGGACAGACTGGGTGGCCAAGTATGGCGGCCACCGGTAGGAGTCTGGTGCAAAGTCCCACAGCATTGCTCCATAGAGTCCCTGCAAGTCCCCTGACCCTGGGAAATGTCTACAGATGTCTATTTCTACAGAGTTCTGGAAGAAATATGCAGCAGTGGGTACTCTGAAGAGCAAAAATCATCTCCTATTTTATTTCTCTCCTAGAAATGAAATCCAATTTCTTAGCATCAGTTGCTCACAGTGCTGATATACGGGTAGGACTTTACAAAGTATTGAATAAACTATTTGCCAAAGTATCAAGTATTTGATCTACAAATTACTAGTTACTAAGTATGGTAAGACACATTTTTACAAAGGCTTCCATAAGTAAGTGTTTAGAATGTTTTTGGTTTCATCTGTTATTTGCCTAAATTAACTAATATTTTGATTGGCCTCAGAGGTGGGTTGTTTTTTTTTTTTTTTTTTTTGTAAATAGCAATCCTCTGTGGTCTGTCAGTTACAGCTCTATTGGGCTAAGGCTCTACCTTAACCAGTTTGGCAATGGCAGACGATGTTCCTTTATCATCTGTTTTTCTACTTTGAATTATGGAAGCAATGGTAATTCCAATATTGAGCAGGGTGTCTTTCTTAGGAATAAATTTAACTTTAACATAAAGATTTCAAAATTATGACACCTGATTTTAGTGGAGAAAAGAGTCTGCTGTTTAATTTTGACCAACACAGCTCCTGTGAATTCATGGTGACTATCAAACTCAATGGCTTGATGACTCCCAGATCAACCAAGTCAAGGTTCTCATCTTCACATCATTAAGAGAGTCCTTGAAACTGTGATGTTTGTTCATCAGACTTTCAAAATATCTTGTTTCCATGTTCCTACCAGACACAGATGAGGTGTGCCAGTTTGTCCCCCAAAGCAAACTCTTGCTGCGCTGCAGATCACTGACCTGGCTCTGACCTTGACATTTACTCTGAAGAGCAAATGTAATTCAGTTACTATAGCAGTGATTCACTTAGTATAAATTTTTTTTTTCTTAGTTCTGTTTCTAAACTGGTACTTAAAATAGACATCTTGAACTTGGGACTATATTTAAATTTGCCATTTTACGGACTGAACATTAATACTGTATATTTTTTTTAAAGAATAATACTGTTATCAACTGCTATTTTAATGTATTTTATGACTTTGTAACAAATGCTAATGTAACTGGCATCATCTTGTGGACATTTTCCAAAGATATCATAAAATAATAGTAATATGGTATTTTTGTATAGAAGATTCAGCTCACCTCGCTGAAAAATGTTAAAATCTGAAGAGTAATTTATGTTGATGGTAATGGCTATATATATTTGTACAGTTTTAATTAATGTCTCAAAGCTAAAAAATTATTTTGTGTTGCTGGAAGCTCTTACACTTCTTGACAGATATTAAAATTAATATGGTTAACTGGTGTGTTGTCCTTATACTTTTAAACAGGTTGTGAGATCAGTCCTGCACTGGGCTTGCGCTGGACATGGAACCTGCTTAAGTTTCTAGCTCTCGCTCTCCCTCTACCCCTCCCCGACTCACGCATGCATGGGTATGCTCTCTCTCAAACAAACAAACAAACAAACAAATCAGAGTAAGAGGCTTATTTCTCAACTGACCTAGAAGCCAAAGTAAGTAAATGAATATTTGGATAATGCAAAAAACAAAATTTATCTGATAGAGCTTCAACCAATAAGGAAAAAATTCATGTACTTCACAAATATATATAGCATTCATAAAAAGTTGACCTTATATTACATCACAAAGAAAATTACAATCTCCCAAATAAAGGAAATACATAAGCCACATTTTCCCCCACATTTTAACAAAACTAGACTATCACAATAATAAAAGGGTATACGCCCCCAAATTTTGTCCACTTAAAAATATGTTAAAAATATCGTTCTAAACAATGATTCAAAAAGGAAAAATAAAAACACTATTTAGAAACGAACAATATGCCTCTGTATTAAAACTTGCAAAATTCAGCCAAAACAGGTCTCAGAGAAAAAAGTATACAATTGATCCATTTGTGGAAATAAAAAAAAAGCTAGGAGCAGTGAAGATATGCTGAATTTGAGCATTTAACTTAAGAAATTAGAAAAAAATAACAAGTTTAAAATAAAAAAAGGATTAAAGATATAATTACAATATAACCAAATAAAATATTTCAGCCCAGGGGCAATAAGCATCTCTAGCATCCTGATCTTGATTTCTAATTCCATTGTCCAGTAAAAGGAACAAGGGCTTTCCGGAGAAATGGCTGATTCTAGTGCTGAGCATGAAACAGATGACACTGGAGAATCTTACACTGCTAGAAAGGAGCGAAGTTATAAAAAAATAAAAGCAAAGGCAATCAAGCAAAAAAAGCCTATGCTGATGGGCTGTGTCAAAGGGACATAAGAGTCAAATGAAAGAGCGCCCAGTGGCCAAAACTGCAACCATTTGAGAAAGAAAATTAATAAATGTTGTATTCCCAAAGTGGGAAATACATATCCTTGAGTCCATACTGATATAAATAAATGAATAATTAAGTAGGAGAGAAGAGACAAATCTCCTGTACAGAATCTCAAATAATTTGTGTAGATACTCTGCCCTCAAGGAGGCAGCATACAACTCCCCAGTCCTTATGTGTGTGAGATCATGACCTGAGCCAAAGTTGGATGCTTAACTGACTGAGCCACCTAAGTGCCTCATATTATTTTTATAATATGGTAGCTAATAAATGGTAGCTAATAAAAACCTAAGGCAGGTAATATTTGAGTGAATCAACAGAAGCATTTATAGTACTGTCAATTCATTTTGTTCAGATTGCTACCTAATTTTAAAGAGTTAACCATTTGCCATAACTATACAATATCCTACAATAATCTTAATAGAAATACAAAGAACTAAATAAACATACCTCTAAAATATGAAGACGTTTAAAAAACTACATTCACAACCAGAAAACAATGAACAAAATGGCAATAAGTCCACATCTATCAATAATTTCTTTAAATGTAAATGGCCTAAATGCTCTAATCAAAAGACATAGTGGCTGAATGGATAAAAAAAACAAGACCCATCTATATGCTGCCTACAAGAGACTCATTTCAGATCTAAAGAAACACACAGACTGAAAGTGAAGAAATGGAAAAGATCTTCCATGCAAATGGAAACAAAAAGCTAGAGTAGCAATATTCATCAGACAAAACTGACTTCTAGGGGCTTCTGGGTGGCTCAGTCAAGTGTCCAACTCTTGATTTCAGCTCAGGTCATGATCTCATGGATTGTGAGATTGAATGAGCCCCGTGTTAGGCTCTGCGCTAATGGCATGGAGCCTGGTTAGGATTCTCTCTCTCCCTTCCTCTCTGACCCTCCTTCCCCGCCCACCCCCCCCAGCTTGTGTGTGCAAGTGTGCTCTCTCTCTCAAAATAAATAAGCATTAAAAAAAAAATGACTTCTAAGACAAAGACTGCGTTGTGGGGATGAGCACTGGGTGTTATATGGAAACCAACTTGGCAATAAACTATTTGTAAAAATAAATAAATAAATAAATAAATAAATAAATAAATAAATAAATAAAACAAAGACTGCAACAAAAGACACAGACATTACAAAATGCTAAAAGGGTCAATTCAAGAAGATAAAGCATTTGCAAATATCTGCATACCCAACACAGGAGTACCTAAATTTATAAAAGAAATATTAACAGACATAAAGAGGGAATTGACAATAATACAGTAATAACAGGAGACTTTAATACCCCACTTACATTAATGGGCAGATTATTGAGACAAAAAAATCAGTAAAGAAACACTGGCCTTAAACGACACAGCAAACCAGACAGATTTATTAGATAATATACACAATGTTTCATCCCCAAAATGCAGAATACACCCTTTTCAAATGCACAGTGAACATTTTCCAGGATCACACTAGGCCACAAAATAAGTCTCAACAAATTTAAGAAGACAAATCATATCAAGCATCTTTTTCCAAACACAACAGTATGAAACTAGAAATCAATGACAAGAGTAAAACTGAAAAAAAAAAAAAACTCAATACATGGAGACTAAACAATATGCTACTAAACAACCAATGAGTCAACAAAAAACTCAAAGAGAAAACTCAAAAAATACCTTGAGATAAGTTAAAATAGAAATAAGACTTTCCAAAATCTATGGGACACAGTGAAAGCAATTCTAGGAGAAAAGCCCAGAGTTAGTGAAAGGAGGGAAATAATGAAGATCGGGATGGAAATAAATGAAATGGAGACCAAAAAGAAAGGACCAATGAAACCAAAAGCTGGTTCTTTGAAAAGATAAACATAATCAATAAATCTCTAGCCTGATTCATCAAGAAAATATGAGAGAGGGACCAAATTAAATCAGAAATGGAAAAGAAATGACAACGGACACTACAGAAACACAAAGGATGGTAAGAGATGCTACAGTTACACACCAACAAACTGGAAAGCCTAGAAAAAAAATTAATTACCAGAACCACATAACCTTCCAAGACTGATACTGAATAAAGAGAAAATATGAAAAGATCAATTACAAATAATGAAACCAAAACAATTAAAAAACCACCCAAAACAAAAAAATCCAGGACCAGACAGCTTCACAGATGAATCCTGCCAAACATTTAAAGAGTTAGTAACTATCCTTATCAAATTATCCCAAAACACTAAAGAGGAAGGAACATTTCCAAACTCATTTTATGAGGCTAGCCTAAACCAGACAAAAACATTACAAAAAAAGAAACCGTAGGCTAATAGCCCAGATGAACAAAGATAAAAAAAAGTTCTCAAAAATTATCATCAAACCAAATTCAGTAATACATCATGATCACATACCATGATCAGGTGGGATTAATGCCAGGGATGCAAGGATGGTTCAACATCCTCAAATGAATCAACATGATACACCACGTTAATAAAACAAAGGATAAAAACCATATGATCATCTCAATAGATAACAGAAAAACCATCTGACAAAATTCAACATCCATTCGTGAAAAACACTCTCAATAAAGTTGGTACAGAAGGAAGGTATCTCAACATATAAGGTCCACATAAGACATCCCACAGCTAACACCAACATTCAACAGCAAAAAGCTGAAAGCTTCCTCTAAGGTAAGGAACAAGACAAGGATGCCCACTCTTGCCACCTTTATTCAACATCGTTCTGAAAGTACTAACCACAGTCGTTAGGTAAGAAAAACAAATACAAATACAAGAAATTGGAAAGGAAGAAGCAAAACAATCTTTGCAGATGACATGAT